AAATTCTCAATAAACGGTAATACACGTGTTTTGTTAAATTATACGGACAAAATCATCCGGATGGAGTAAAGTATCCAAATTTGTATATTTCTTCGTATGAAAATCGAAACTTTTAGAAGACAAAAGTAAGGTCAAAGTTTGCAGTCTCCTAAATATCATTATTCTGACAAGCAATATATAAATCACCGATGTGGCCAACATGTCAAAGCTGACCTTAATGACTCAGTAAAAGTACAGGTCCAAAACGTTTCACGTGGCTTTCTGGGATCCACTGCCGCGTTTTGTCCACATGTAAAATGGGCCCCATCCATGTGCATTAGCTTCCCAAGTTTCCTCCAGCTGTCTTTCTAACTTTGCTGATGTGGAAGCAGTTCCTGTCCGTCATTTTATCATTCCTGTTGTTAGGTATGACGTGTGAATGTGTCAGATCCAGGTGTCTTTTCTCATGTGTGAAATAATTTTTTTTTAAAAAAAATTGGCTTCTTCGACATGATGTATTCAAGCACGTTCTTATTCTTTATTTCTTTGCAATAACAAAAGTAATAAAAAATCCTCTTAATATTAAAATTTTGACTTTAAAATTTTGGGTATGGCCCCTTAAATTTCTCATAGGTTCCAATTATGATACTGTATTTTATATTTTAACAATAATTATATTCATCGTCAAAATAAAATATGAAAGTGTAAAGTTACGATTAAACTTTTGTAAAATTATTTAATTTCGATAAAACATATAACTATTATTAATATATAAAAGTGTATAGTCGGTTGTTATTGATTTAGAAATCGGATAACTTGAATAAGGAGTCTAAGTTCATGGAGAACTGGAATTCTCCTGCGTTGCTTGAAGGCAAGCAAAGTGCTTCGATGGGGCGAGGAGCACGAGCGATTGAAAGAGTAGTGATTGAAAAGCATGGAAACTTTTTTTTAGGTCACCCACTACTCGGTGAAGAAGCTAAAAATAATTGAATTTCATAAATTCAGAAAATAACAAGAAAAAATTGCCTAAATTTATATATTAAACTCAAAAAGGTTATGCTTAAAGTGGGTTTTTATATTTTAGAAGCCTTATTACCATTTACTGGAAAGAATAAAAAAAAAAAGAAAAAGAAAAAGGCTTATTAACAAGTTGGAAATTTTAATTATTTTATTATATTCAATCTTGGTGTGCATTTGGATAATTTTTTTAACATATTATGCTAACTTCGTGCCCTTAATGAAGAAAAAAAAAGAAAAAGAAAAAGGCTTATTAACAAGTTGGAAATTTTAATTATTTTATTATATTCAATCTTGGTGTGCATTTGGATAATTTTTTTAACATATTATGCTAACTTCGTGCCCTTAATGATATAGTATTCACCTTGAGATTATAAAATTATAAAAAATAATTTTTCATACTTTGGATAGAAAGTTAATTATGATTAAGAAAAAGGTTAAAATAAAAATTTATTTTAATCCAAAACTGTAAATGAATTCAACTAAATGAAATGTTATTTAGCTCCAACTCAGCTCAGTTCATGCTAAACTCAAATTTGAGAAACCAAATTCAAATATGACTCATATACAATTTATACTTTTTAAAATATATATAACTTCTTTAAAGGCCGGAGTTCCAACTCAGCTTGTTTCTTAAATAATTTGGATAAGTAATTCATGCTCTGTTTATTTCAGTAAAATAATTCGTAAGAAAATATTTTTTACAATTTTCCGTTGTTTCAGGTGTTCAGAAAAATAAATTAACGGAAAATATTTTTCTAGTCAAAGGAAAATTTTTTAAGAAAAATGATTTTCTATTTTCTAGAGAGTAAAACATTTTTCAAATATTGACAAATATTAAAAATCCATATTTTTTTTAATTTAGTAATCATTGTAGTCACTGCTACCCATCACCATTTACCACCAATTATAACCACTAACGGCCATCGGTGGCTTTCATAATTTACATTTTTCTTTTTGCATTCTTCTTATATTTAACAATAAAAATTTTAAATTATAAAATTTCTATTATTATTAATATTTTTTTACATCTTATGAGATAAAGATTTAAATATTTTTAACTAATTTTCAATATTATAATCAAATAACAGAAAATAAGTCATTTATGGAAAATAGTTTTTAGCAAACTAAAATTATAAAATTTATATTATTATTAATATATTTTATAGTCTTATGAGATAAAGAATTTAATATTTTTATCTAATTTTCAATATTACAACCAAACAATGGAAAAAAAGTCATTTGAAAAATAATTTTCAAAGAAAAAGTTTTCCATAGAAAACATTTTTTTGCAAGTCATTTTACGGAAACAAACAGAGCATCAAGCTCAAACTTAACTCCTTAAATTCAATAAATGAATTTTTTTTTGAAGGTACCTTTAAATCACTTATAAACAGTTTGGATCATTTTATAACGCTATGCAATAATACTAATTATTCTTATTTTGTACTATCATTTATATGATATCTGGAATTAATATGTATTTTTCTAAAAAAAAAAAGGTTAACATATATGTTATCAAAAAGTTGAAATCCTCGCATGATCCTTTTTATTTAATAACTTTTATTGCACTAAGAAAAATTCTTTAATATAATTTTTAAAAAGAAAAATTATTTAAAAAAAAAGGGAGCTCTCTTGCTTATGGGGATGTGATTCTTAACAAGTCTTATTTGGCCATTAAAGGCTAATCATTTCTTAGATTGAAAAGGAAGTTAACTTGCAATGATAAAATATTAAAGAATGGATGCCCCATCTTACCTGGATTTGGGTCTGCAGGGGCCCATTATGATTATTACACTTTAAAAAGAATTCCAACTTTACATTTAAAGATTAAAAAAAAAAAAAGAACTTTTTAAATAAGTCAATAGAAATGAAGTTAATAATTAAAATTGATGCAATTGAGCTTTAATATGTTAGACTGAAGCAGTCTTAATTACACATTTCAAGTCAATTAGTAAATTAGGAGGAAAACTACAACACTTCAATTGTACATTCTCTAATTTTTGCATAATTTCACATATTTTTTAATAATTTTCATTGATTAATGATAATGATGATTCATTAAATATCAACAAATTTAAAACGGGTGATGTTATTTTTAGAGCAACAATTGTTAATACCAGAGCAAATTTATAATATAGACAAAAGTACCATTTTCCATTTCCCTTCAATTTGTTCATAGCAAAACTTCTTATTTTCATCCAACGTCTGGAAGTAACTCAGCCAAAAATAATTTACCTGATTCACTTGATTTTGACGGTTGACAACATCTCTAGCTTATTTCATAAATTTCTATAGCTGTATAAGAAGTGCTTCTATTAAATGGGATAATCGAATTCTCCCATCATGGTAATCACATTAAACAAAATTTAAAAATCCCACCATATACATAGAAAGGCACACACCAGATTCTTGAATTAAAGCACCTAAAATACTACAAGCAAGACATAATATTATTCCATGAATTGATGCAATTTGATTGTTTCTTATTGATTTATTCATTGATTATATACAATTTTTGAATTAAGTCTTATTTTGAAATAAGATCTAATCCTTATAAACAGAACAAGACTTATAATTTACCAATGACAATCTAACTAGAATCACATATCTACTTCAAAATAATAACAATAATAATAATAATAATCATAAATGATAATAACGGTAATAATATTAACAATAATACTAATTTAATAGTAATAATTTCGAGTTTCTAATGATATATGGAATTTAGAAAACCTTAATAAATTAGAACTAATCAAATGTCATAAAAAATTTTTTTTTTTTTTCGAACTATCATTAAGTTTGAAACAAGAAATATAAATAAAGAAATGAAATAAAAATTTGTAGATCGCATTGAATCTTTCTTCATATAATAAGTGAAATTTTATGTTTATATGATGAATTAAATTAGATTTTCTCCCTCTATTTTCTCTTTCAATTTTTCATGCATTAAACATGGCATTAAACATGATGAAAGTATTCTATTTATATAAATTAATGCGACAAGTATAGTGGGTGAAACATGCATTACAAGCAAGGTCGAAATCAAAATCTAAAATTAAAAGAACCAAAAAAAAATTTTTAAAATTAAGAGAATTAAATCAAATAATTTTTTTTTAACACTCTTTATAGAGAAAATCTAAAAAATTTTTGGAATTTAGGGGGTCGGGCTCCTCCCATTCCCTCTCTTATACATGTTTGAGAAACTAATGAAAATAAAGGGGAAAAAGATCCTAATTTTTCTAAAATTATTCTTTTTAGAGCTTCTATTAGTTACTATATACAAAAATATCATGAAGATAAATGTTAATACCAAGATGTGAGGAGACAGAAATATTAACATATGTGAAGTTAATTTTTAATTAATGACATATTATTATTTTTTTAATGATAATTGCAATGACAATGATAGATGAACCTATCATGACATGCAACTTGTGAAACCATAACATTTATAATATGTCAAACAAAAGATAAATAATACCAAATAATAAACTTCTAGCTTTCCACTTTCTTGCACGAACCTACTTACTTGAAATTAATGTTGTTTAAGTTTAATCCAAATAAAAAAAAATATATATATTTTTTAAGATTTTGGGTGGCTAATACTTTTCCACTTTCTTGTTAAACTAGATTACTTAGATGCTAGTTGTTGCTTGTAATTTGATTAAAAAAATTTTCTTTTGCTTAATAGCTTGGTTAAAGATACAAGTAGAGAATCATTCAACCTTGAATTTTATCATCTAGACTTATTAGACTTATTATTATTATTATTATTATTATTATTCAGTAATGAATAGTCATCTTCTTAGAATAAAAACCCACGAGTTAGATTTTTATTTTTTATTTTTTTAGGAAAAAAAAAAGGCGAACTAATTAAGTAAAATTAAAAAGGAAAAGGCCAAAAAAGTACGGATCAATATTAAAAAAAAAAAATGAAAAGCATGTGCATATATATCCAAGAAAGAGTTGGTTGTGTGTGTGTGTGTTTTTGGGTAACCAATAGACATTAGACAGTGAGTGTCTATAAAATGCTTAACATTGTGATGTTCTTGGTGGTACATTCAAAGAAACAACTACTAGTTTTTAGTGAAAAGAAGAGACTTTTACGCTTTTAGAGAGATATAGAGAGGAAAATGGGAAATTTGGGAGAGATTGAAGAAATAGAGAAATGGGTTTCATCACCAGCTGTAAATATAGCAGAAAGAAGAATGCCAAATCTTTCTTTAAATCATGTCTCATTTGTTTGCAAATCTGTTCCTGAGTCAGTAAGGTTTTATGAAGATGTTTTGGGTTTTGTGCTCATCAAAAGGCCTTCTTCCTTCGATTTTGAAGGAGCTTGGTAATGTTCTATTTCTCCCTTTTGCTCTCTTTCTTTCTCTCTTTTTATGTACATGTTGTTTCTTAATTTGTTAAAAGTCTTCGTCTTAATAGAAGATTTCTGGGCAGATATTCAAGATGTTTTTCCTTCCTTTGGGTTTTCTTTATTTTTGCTCTATTTGTTTCTCTTTGTGTATTTAACCTCGTATGAACATATATAGGATAGGATGAGCTTTGTATAAGTTTATACTATTTGATGCTTATTTTATTTTATTTTATCTCAAATTTTACTAAGCTGTGATCAAACCATCTTGTTCTTGTGGAAATTTTTCCAACTTCAGAAGCAAAATAATACAATTCGATTTTGGATCACTTCCTTTTCAAAAGTGAATTAAGTGGTTTTTTGGCTTTTGGCAAAACATACACTTTCAGTTCTTGGTTGAGAAAACAAAGCTTTTGTCAGTATTTTTTAAGGGAAACAACTTTTTGGTCTCCTAATCAAATTTTAAAGTTATCAACATAAGCAAAAATGCATAGCCTAATTTTACGTTTATGCATTTTCTTTATTTTTGTTAACCATGTCTTATTTGTACCTGAGGAAAAAAAAAAAAGGGAACTTCAGGAACTGATTTGTTTTATATCAAAACTTTGGATTTAATTGGACTATGGATGCAGTCATTTAGATATATTTTATTCACTTTGGTCCTAATGCATCTTTTTCAAGGGATAAACTTTTCTAGACGGGTCTGGTTCCACCCTTGGATCAAACCAACGAACTTTTATAACTAATATGGGAATATGGGTATTTTGCAGGTTATTCAACCATGGTGTTGGCATCCATTTGCTTGAAGCAGAAAATGCCCCTCATAAAAAAGGAGCAATAAATCCAAAAGACAACCACATTTCTTTCCAATGCTCAGATATGGATCTTCTTGTTCGAAGGCTCGAGGAGAAGAAAATTGAGTATGTTACAGCAACTGTAGAAGAAGGTGGCATTACAGTTGATCAACTTTTCTTCCATGACCCTGATGGCTACATGGTTGAGATTTGCAATTGTCAAAATCTACCAGTTCTTCCACTTTCTGTTTGCCCTCTAAAGCTACCTAAAGCCAATGGGAATATAACAACTCCAAGATTTTATGGTATTTCTTATTTCATTATAGATTTTGTTTTCACAATGTCTAACTGAAATCAGTGCTTTTGAAATCAGATCAGTCGATCAAAATAATTTCAAGAAACCTTGAACTTAATTTCCTTCAGTGGGTATTACAAAACTTTGAAACAGAAAAAGTACAGAACATATTGGATGGGATTAAATCTGATTTTGGACCGGTTTTCGGTTTCATGGTCTGGTCCGATTTTAATAACATTTGTTTGGAACTACGCTTTAGCTATAGTTAATTGAGCTAAATTTTATCAATAATTTTGGAGCCTGACATTTTTGAATAAAATTGCAGGGAAAAGCAGTTTGGAGATGGGATGCTCTGGAGGAGTTGCATCTCTGATGATGGAGAACTTGGTGGTTGACATGCTTGACATTTCGATGTAGGAGATTGGAAGAGAATGATTGGTGCAAGTTTTGATTGAATACTCTAAAAAATTTGTTTTGTAAAAATAGGGGTGAAAGCTTTTGTAATGTGAAAAAATTTATTAGGAGATATCAATCTTTGCTTTCGGTTGTGAGTTTTTTTTAAGTTATATTGAAACAGTGTTTAATTTATTGGTTTGATCAATCTTTTCTTATTTTTCCAATGCTCTTTTGTTAATGTTATGCGTTTGTAACCAAAGAGACTGAAGACAAATGGTTACCAGAAAAAAAAAAAAAACAAAGAAGAGGAAGAAAAGAAAACACAGGCTCGCAATTTTCCGATATTTGAAATATTCAAGAAAATTAGCTAACGAAAAATATTTTCTTACAGTAATAGTTTGATTCTTGCAGTTTTGTTGGTTCTCTTGTTATTCTCTTTTGTAGTGTTGTGAGTAGCAAAAATTTAGAACTTCAATCATAGAAAAAATAAGATAAGAAGACAAATTTAACCAATCAATTGAGATCTATAGGTGAAAGAAATCATATGGACTAATAAGTTAATTTTAAAGTAATGTGAAGATGTTCAATATGCAAAGCTACTGCAAAAGAAAAACCACAAAAATATAGTTATAATGTCTAAATATTGAACAATTTTGGAATTAATGGGGTATAATGCCTCAAGAACATGGTCAATTTTGAACAAAATCAACTTATTTTCAAAATGATTAATATGTTACAATTTCACAACATATTTGCCATGGTCAAATCTGAATAGTGGTAATCTACAAGTGGCTAGCTCCCTCGGTCAAAATTATTTCCAGGGTAAAATTTTTTGGTTACAATTGGGTATATACCTATCAGCCAGCAATGAGAGAGAGATAGGGTTGGAGTATTCATAGAGAAGAAATGGTCATGATGGTGTGGCACCAGAAGCATTGATTGGCTTCAGTCATTCACCTAATGATATGACAACAAAAACATCATCAAGGGACCATTTTCTTGGTTTTGACTTCTCTGCAGGGTTAATTATTGCTCGCTCTGCATTCGCAAGGCGATAACCAATCACGATTTCGTGTCTTTGACGACCCCTTATCATTATTTCATAAAAACAAAGCTCCTCCTGGTCAAATAAGTAGAATTCTGCAGGTTTAATACACATTTCATTCCCCTGCAAAAAGACCAATTGCATGCATACAAAAAAAAAAACATAGTCAATGCGATACCGTTGATTCTGAAACACTAAACTAGTTGCTGGGTAAGACATGAATGGGGAGAAAACAGAAAACAAAAGGTAGGCCAGAGAATCACAATTTTATGTATCAAATTAATCAAATTGCCTTCTGCCAGAATGGCGACGAGTCTCAACTAATATAATATCAGTCCAACACTCCTACCCAACCCCAGAACATTTCAGTTATGATGTGTTCTGTCTTTGCTTTTTCCAACAAAAGGTTAAACTATAATTTATCTGAAAGATCAATTGTTCTTTATTAGATGGATTTGTTTTATTCAAATTGTAGTGGGCTCTGTTTCGAAAAAATAATGAAAAAAGAAAAGGAACACAAATCTAACATCAATGTCCTATTACTAAATTCTAGTACAATCAATCCATAATAACATCAAAGCATAAGATAAGGTATGAAAGGTACCTCCTCTGCAAACAGTTCCTCAAGGACACGATTTATTTGCTTGTCTTCAGCCACCATTGCCAGTGCCATGCTTACCAGTTCATTTGATAGAACATAATCACTGATTCTGGACACCGAGACAAGGTTTCTAGTCCTAGAATCCAGGATTTCACTAATAATTATTGATTTGTCAGAAGCTTGCTGCATTTCACGGATCCAAGAACTGTGAGAGAATCCAGAGAGCCGTAGAGATGCTGACTTTGTATCTCTATAAGGGAGACGCTTTGACTGAAAATCATAAGGAAGAGAGAGCTCTTATCAACAATCAGACTATTAACCAGTCATGTTTATAGAGCTGTTATTTCAGAAGTAAATTCATTTTTGCTGGTATTATAAAGATGTCTCGCAAAAGCACATGCAAAATTCTGTCACTTACTTCTATATTTCCAATCTGAATATACCCCATGTCCTAATATAACTTTCTCTCAAGAGTTAGACACAAGACAGAAACCTTTATTATTTTTAATATCGTCCACACGGGCCAAAATGTAGCTTAATTATTTTTACATAAACCGATTGCTCAACATTTACATGCACCTAAACAAGGAAAGATATTCACTAGATCCATAATACTTTTAAGTGCTCAAACAAATGTATTGTTATATTTAAAAAGGAGGGAGCGACAGAGCAATGAAAATAAAATGGGGAATTAGCTGTCTCTTGTTCTTAAACAAGGAGGCAGCAACAGTATTTACCTGTATATCTCGAATAAGAAGAAGGGTAGCAAGAGATCGTGAGTCAGAATGCACAACAGAGTCCTCCAATGACTCATCTGCAAGAATTAATATCTGTCCGCTTAGAGTTAGTAATCAGTAGTGGAATTGTGCTAATTATAAGAAATATGAAATGTGCTTGTGTATGACAACTAAAATAGTTTCACTTTGTAACTGAGTTTCTTGTTGAGTAACCTTATAGAGATGAAGTGCAGAGTGGTGCTATGTTTAAGAAAGTAAAAGACTGTTGTGTTTCCTTGTTGCCCCAGGTCCATTTGCTAATGTTGTTTAAGTAGGTTGTGCACTATCTCAGTCTCTTTGGCTTGCCTAGTAAATGCCACTAGTGATAGGTGACTTTTCTAGTATTGATAAGCTCAATTGGTTAAATTTGGTCAGACACTTTTTTCCTTTTTTTTTTTTTTTCTTGTCTCTGGGAACGGTTAAAAGGGTCAGGTGTGTAAGTAACTGTTACCTCAAGGCATTGTAACTTGTACGAGAGAAATTATTCATATAGCATTGCAATAAAAAAAAAGTCTGTGGGCCCCCTCTCTAGCTCCAAACTAAAACAATGAAGAGCCCAATGCTTTTCTTGGGATGTAGCACATTTTCTTCAGTTTTCTACTTACAAAGCAATCTTTCGCACCTACTGTTTTTTCTCCATAATGAGTGCAATCAATTGATCTTTGTATCTATTATCTCCTTGCAAACCCATTCCCTAATAAGGGATTCAATTACATTTTATTGAAGTTCGTTAATTATTAGATGGCAAGCCCTTATAAATCCAGTCTTTGACAAACAAAGTTGATGACCTTCAATTTGATGGTGAAACTGGGTAAAAGGAAAAAAGGTGATGCAACTTACAGAATCGAAAGTCTCAAGAGGAAGACTCTCCAAATGTCGTCTGATGACAGCGTTTCCCACCCGGTGGACAAGTTTTATGTTCTCCAATCCAGAAATGTCAAGTCCACCATCAGTAAGCTTCTTTTCTCTTTCTTTTTCTGGGACCTCATTGAACATCCAGAGTTCAGAACCTGGAGCCAGGAATGCCTCTAGAACCTGAAAAGTAAAAGCAAAATCAAAAAATCAAACTACAGCCTGTTTTAAGTAATTTCTTCTTTAGTGCAATAAAATTACATCAAATTAAGCCATCTTCTAACAAAAACCGAATAAGACTTTAAGGTAGCATTAAAACTTTATATTGCATACCATTATCATATCATCAATGTCACGGCGCCATCCACAGAATAGTATCTTCTCTGGATATTTTGGAGGATCAACTAGTTTTGGACAAAGACCACTGCGTACCTGGATTAGGTACAAGCACATGTAAGAAAAGACAATACAGCTAAAATCATTCTAACACAAGGCTTTAGCACATTATAAAAGAGATAAGTAATTAAAGTCCAAGGAGACAAAATGCTCAAGCATGTAAACTTTACTGCAGTATAAAATATTTCCTTCTCTCTTTTCCCCCGAAATAATAATACAATGTAGAGATTGAGAACCACTCCAAGAAACCATAAACAGAGCGTCAATGTTTCATCCTAAGCAAAGTTCACTTATCAGGAAAATGTTAGGGACCTATATGTTGTATCAGCTTTTACTGGCAGAAAAAGGAAAGGACAAGCAGATTTGTCGTGATTGCACTTCATGATGAGCGAATGTTATACCATTTATAGTTTTCATCATAGGCTTTGGTAAGAATTTAACTTCTAAACTTCCAAGCAGCTAATCATCACTAAAATCCAACGTTCATCTTTATCAAGTGTGAAAAGGACAACCTTTGGAAGAGGACCTGGAGTGTAAGTGTCATCATCCTCAGCTATGACAAGAATCTCATCCCCTTCCTTCAGTATATATTTATCATCTGGGTTTAAGTTTATTTTTCCACCTTCTGCAGCAACTTTAACTCCACAAGGAATTGCATCAGGAAATGAAATGAGAACTTCTTCAAAATGCAGACCGTCCAATTCAGGCCACCTTTTGATGTAAAATTCTGCATTCTCAAACCCTAATATATCTTCCCAAATCTGACCAAAAGAACTAAAATTAATAAAGAAAGAAAAAGGTCACACCTAATTGCTGAAACCGAAACAAAAGAAAGTGAGAAAAGTAGAATCAAATATTGATTGTTATCAAACCCAAAGGGTGCAACACAACAAATGGATAAATGAATAAATACAGATAACATTATTTATAGGGTTATAAATGAGGAAAATTTAACCTATAACCAAAATGTTATAAACAGAATTACAGCAGACTAATGACGTAGAATACTTCTACATGCATACCATGCAACATCAAAACTAAAATAGTTTTTGGCCCAATTCACGATAAAAATATCAAAAGCAATGAGGACTGACATTACTAGACGAACTGTGTTGCTAGAATGAGGGAAAATTGAAGATCACAAATAAAAATAGGCTGCTGACTGAAAATGCAGTACCTCTTTTCTCAGTTTTTAACCCAGATAAGACCCAAACTAACATTATCAACATCAACTAATCATTTCAAGTAGTGCACAAGATGAGACCATAGTTCATATAAGCAACGGTCATCTATGGTAGTTACAGTGTCAAATCTTCAGAAACTGTGAAGGCACAGGCTCATTATGCAAAGAGGTGGATCAGAAAGGAAGAAGAAAGAATAGACTCAAACATTGTCCCAATTAAAAGACTATGAATACCACAATTTAAAATATTGCCATTGAGTAACCTGTGCAAGGCCGGGTTGCAAAGCACATTGGATCATCAAACGTCCAATCACATCATGTGCAACAACTGTTTCAATGAGTTCCCCTCCAACAAGCTTCACCAGAGGTTCATTGTCGAGGTCACTCATCTCTACAACAACATGACCCTTCAGACCCTCTTTAACTCCTGTTAGGCTAAGCACAACCCGTAAAGCACGTGCATCACTCTGGCAAGAATAATACAAATATTTAAAGAATATTTCATAAGGGAGTATGCAAACCACAGAAGTAGATAGGGACATTGTAAGCAAACCTGGTCCGCATTTTCATCGGATGCTAATACAATGATTGCACGTGCCTTAGAAACTGAAACCTGTGAATAGGTGGGAAAAAAAAAATTTAAACCTCCCTAGAGCCCTACAAAAGCTTAAAGTAAAAAATAAAACTCCCCAAACATACTTTCTTTAAGTCGGCCAGGATAAGAGGGCTGCCACTTCTGCATATAACAGAAGTGCCCATGAAGTCGAATTCTAGCTTAGCTATATCCATCTCCATTTCCTCCTTGTCTCTTTCTGCTAATACAACAACAACTCCGCCACCAATACTCTTGTTTGCTATTGCTAGCTGCTTCAAAAGTGAACCCTAAAACCAAAATGCCATTTTTATGCTTTGCATTGAGAAAGATTCTCATGATACTGATTTGCACATTCAACTTCCTTTACAAAAGCGAAAAAGGAGAAAAGGAGAAAAGATGAATAATTTTCACAATATCCATTAATGGTAGCAGTTCTAAGTGCACTTCAGGCTAGAGGAATAAGACCCTGGATTGTTGTGCATCTACTCCTGGATTGTTGTGCATCCAAGAAAGAAATAAAGAATGAACGTCAAAAAACAGGCATCAAAGTTTCAGAGTTGTGCAAGAGAATTACCAATTTGTCACTCCACCCAAGAATTAGTATATGGTTCTTTTCAATAACTTCACTCTTCCCTTTCCGCAATGAATCTACTTTCTCTGAGATGGCATCTGAGACAAGTCCAAGCATCATTGCAAATATCAGCATTCCTCCTGAACTTATAGAGACAGAAACAATCCTTGGCCCAGTCCCAACCCTATCTGCATGATTTCCAGAATCAGCTATGAATGTCCATGACAGCCAAAGAGCTTCAGAAAAGCTACCATCACTAACTGCATACAGTGCCAAGCCGCCAAATCCTATCAGAAATATAGTTGCAAAGAGTAGTGCAAGCAGCTTTGCATAAGGATAAACAGAGAAAAATACATCCACCATATATGCAATCCTCTTCTTCAAGGGAACCTCCTCATTGTTTTTAGTTCTTTTTGGGAGAGCCTTGATTTGTGGAAGATAATCAAGATATTTGTAGATTAAAAATGGCATAGTGAGTGCGAATACCACAGTATACAAAGCAATAGTCCTACTGTCAGCTTTTCTTAAATAAAATGAGTTATAATCTTCATGTTGCAAAACTTCGATGCTGTTGTTACCAACACCGCTTTTGTTGCCACATGCTGTATGAAGGTTAATATTCTCTTCCTGCAATTAAAAGACCATATTTATGAAATATGGAAACAAATCACAAACAGTTGTGTTCAAGCAACATGCAGATTGGCTAAGGGAGTAAACATCCAACTCAGCTAATTAACATTATACAGCTTTTTTTCCCCCTTTTTTGAACAGAAACTGTACACAGCTTTGTTCATAACTTTTCTCTCTTTTCTTCCTTATGAGAATCCAGCACTGGCATTCATTATGTTTACCTTCATTTTTTGATTCCATTCAAGCAACAAGAGAAATATTGTTTCAAGCTTTTAACACAAAATCAATGCATTTCTCAACCCTAAGCAAATTATAGAACATACCTGTAGTTTTGTAACTTTACTCCGCAGGTGAATTGAATGAGATACAGATAATATACAAGTGAAAATGAGCTGCAAATGAAAATTAGCAACAAAACCATCAGTAAAATGTTGCTAATCATCAAAACTATAACATACCAAAAAATGCCAACTAAATCATGTCTCCATTCAGCAATTTCAATATTCCTGTTTCCCTGTTGACCTAACAGTTTCTACTTTCGTTGCAGCTAATCATCAGTCCAAAAAAAGAAAAGCTCAATTAATGGGAAATATATTTTCTTTCTTCCTTTCCGAATCCTATGATAATGAAATAAGAAAAAGAAAAAAAAAAATCCAAACTTTCTTTCTTTCTCTCACTTTTGAAAAAAGAAAATAAAAAGCCAAAGTCCCGCGAGAGATAAGCCAAACGTAGAAAAGAGCTAATTATTGAGCAAAAGTTTAGTTATGAGAGAGAAATTGAAATTTTCATTATACAGAAAAAGGGCAAAAGGCTATTTAAGAATATAATCTTTTTCCATTTCGGGAATATTCAAAATTGTCTCATTTTTTTTCTTGACGATTTTAAATTCTAAATAATTTTTTTTCCTTACATTTTCCCTCCATTTTTCTCAGCATCCAAACGGAAACCAACATTGTATTTATAATTAAAAGAAAATGCAATCATGAAAGAGAAAAACCTACAAAATAAGAGACCAAAGAGTGTTTCAATCCCCGACTGCTCCGAGTCAGAGAACTAGACTGAGTCGTCAAAACTTGACTAGCTGCCGCCAATTTTACTTCCTTCTCTGTTTTTGATTTCTCCTCTTTCGTTCCCACCGAATTACTCGACACACCTCCAATCTCCTTCTTTTCCTCTACCACCCTATTATTACCACTACCACTAGCATTAACACTAGAACTACCACGCCGACCCTTCAACGCTACCCGATTCCCTGCCACGTGAGGCCCGAGAAACGACGGGAAAACCCAATCTCTATCAGACAAGCTACCGTCAGTAATGTTATTCCCGCTACTATGAGCTGGAGATGCATCCTCGTTTCTGACGGAGACCCGGAGATCGGGAAGTTGAGGAAGAAGGGGAGGGGAAGGAGGAGCAGCTGATACGCGGCGGACGGTGGGGAATAACGGACCAGGAAAGTGAGTGTCGCCGGAAATTGTGGTTTTTGATTTCTTTAGCAGCGGTGGCCACTCTGCCTTCTTAGTGCTCGTATTCGAGGCTGAAGCTGAAGCTGACGCCGAAGCCAAATCCTCACTGCCCTTTTGCATTTCTCTTCTTCTTCAGAAAGAGAGATCTAAGTGGAGAGAATTCAGTTCGAAGTTAGGACACAGTTTGATTTCAGTGTAAGAAGAAAGGTCTGGCTTTCGCTTTTATTCTTTTTGAAAATCTATTTCTGACCCCTGAAAGTTTTTATTTTTATCTATTGAGCCCTTTATTTCTAAATTCATTTTATCAAGTCCATCATTTTTCAATTTAATACTTGATTGCTACTATGTTCAGTGGTTGCATAATTTGTTGGAGGCTAATGCTTGGTAGTTGAATTAGTGATTAAGTATAAGTGATTGAAGATTCAAACACAAATAATCAAATATTCAAAAAAAAAAAAAACAAATAGTCAAAAATCTTAACTCTAATTATAATTAATATCATTTAATATTAATATTTTCAAATTATTTACATTTATCAAATTTAATTTTAGGATTATTAATATGTTAAACTACTAATTTTAAACTATTACAAACAGTTGGATTAGTAGAAATAAATTGTATTTGGAGACTAATTTTATTGAGAAAGAAGAAGGACTTATAGACAAATTCAAAAAGTTTTAAGGGCTTAAAAATAATTTTATTCTTTTTTTCAACTTTTTATCTTTTTTTGGGGGTGGCTTTATAAAGTGATGATTGATGGATTGATTTGATAGAGATTCAAGTGGGGTATGTGTGAATCTGTGCCTTACGTGGATGGTGGGGACCCATGATGTGATCGGTAGAGATTATCTGATGATATGGACGGTAGAGTTTAATGCGCATGATCATGTAATTGTACGATAACACGATCTATCTTTTCTTTTCTTTTCTTTTCGTTTTTGTTTTGTCTTTCAGTTTTTTTACTTTTGTTTTGTTTTGGTCTGGTGGCGCTAAATTTCGTTATAAGTGAATGGGATCCACGTGTCCGGATTCTGCTTACCTGTCCAGCACTGATGACGTGGTAAAGGTCAATTGTATGCAGAGTAGCCATGTGAAATTTAATCCCGTCCTATCTTTTCTCTCCCTTTTTTTAGCCCTTTAGAGTTAAAAGTTTTTATTCTATTTTTCACACGAAAAATTTCAGGAAATTCCTATTTATGATTGAAACAAATATATAAATCAAACATGTAATACCGAGCATCAAATACCGGTCTTTTAGATGTAAACGATAACTTCGGTCATGTCGTTAACTACCGTTTCATTTACAGCCTTCTGAAACGACAGGACGAGATGGCATCATGATGATTGACAATTTTTTCAAAGAATTAATTCTAGAAACTCCATTGGAGAAAGAATACACTGGTACTTTGTGAGTGTTTCTTAGCCATTGTCACTTGCTGTCAAGCTTAGAACTATCTTTAGAGTCAGAGGGATTGTTGTATCTCCAAATTACTCCCAAACTGCTGCCCATGATGTTCATAATCACAGCAGACATAGCAGGAGGTAATGCAACCATTGGAGAAGTGAAATGTGATGTTGCTAAAACCACACCCAAGGAAGAATTTTGCATACCAACCTGAAATGAAGTTTTGCAGAACAAAAAGATCAGACTTCTAGTACCTTTTTTTCAATGGTGTACTCTCCTTGATACGTCTAAAATTTGATATTTCAAGCTTCAAATGCACTGCTCTAACCATACCTCAATTGATATAGCTCGCCGTTGTTGTTCTCCAAAACCGCAAATAGCAGCAGATATGTAACTGCAGATACAGACAGTTTAAAATCTTCACTGCTAATATCAATCAGATATACAGCAATAAAGGATAAATAAAGCAGAAAGGTTTTGGGTCGATAAACTTGAGGTGTTTGTTTAAGTAGGGTGAAAGATTAACGCTCTTTTAATTTTACTAGTAAGGCAAGAAAATGTTGAAAGTGTGAGTGCCCAGTGGAGAGAGAGAGAGAGAAAATAAAACCCAAATGAAAATCTACAGGCATGTATCAGTTTAATGACATAAAGGGCGTTTTGTCCAAATGTGATATCAATTGAGACAGAGAAATCCTTTTCATTTTGGCTTTTTTAAGAGAAAACCGAACTTTCTGGTTTACATGATAAAAAAAAACAATTGGATATTCTACAACAAACCAAAAGTGTTTCAGAGGTTGTTTTACATATCTATCAAAAAAAGTTTTCGCTGATTCCAGGAATATTCTATTCAGGTCATCTGCATGAAAACACTTTCATGGTGATATGTCAATATATTTATATATGTATTGTTACATGTCTGTCCATCTTGCATAATTACTCTAGAAATGATGATGAATAGAAAAAATAACAGGTATAATTTAAAAATATCAAAAACTATGTAAGTATGAGCATTAAGGCCACATCAAGGAAATGACATCGTTGCAATGAAAATTAAGAGAAGCTCTTACCCCAAAAAGAAACCAGCAAAATGCAGCAAGAAAACGGAAAGCATTATAATGCCCAGTTCTCCTGAAAATATTGATTGAATGAAAAGAACTGGAGAGGAACCAGGAGGCAATGAGGCACCAAGCATTGATTTAAACCGAAGAAAATTTTCTGAGAAAACACTGGAATAATATCCAGAAAAAAATAATAATACGTGAGAAAGAGAAAAAAGAAAACGAGATGCACCAATTTCACCATAATAAGTGAAATGGAACCAAAACCTGCAAGCAAGCAGTGATGATGTTAAAACAGCAAATAGTGGTGCAAAAGGGATCACAACTTTCACTGCCGCAGGAAATGCGCTTTGCATATAAGAACCCAACAGAATTGGAGCAACCACCACCTGGACAAGAAATCATAATGAGTAGAATATGAGCAAATGTACAATGTTAAATAACTTGTCATCAAGCACACACAAATTTTTATGTTACCTGTAGAGTGCTGATAGAAAGTTTTAAGGCATCCACAGGAACATAAGTTCCTGCCAGAATCTTTGTCAGCAGGGGAGTGAGAAGTACTGCACCAAGAGTAGTGCAGACTGTCATTACAATAGATAGTGGAACATCCCCTTGAGCAATTAAGGTCACCTGTAACACTACTTCAGCAAACAGAAATGAAGAAGTTTTTCATGAATATGAAAATATTGTATTTGGGCTGTCTAACAACAACTTCTAAGATGTCTACATGACAAGGAGAACATTCTAAATACTTTTTTCAGCTTATGGAGTTTCATCAAGATTGAGTCATTGATACCATATCTTGATGACAGAATCAAAATGAAAACTATAAATTATGGTCAAAACATATATACTTGTATATATGATCATATGTTTTCTGGAAGGACAATTATATTGAAACTATTAAAGATGTAAAAGCTTCTTGGCAAGAAAATAGTCTTCGCCATAATTTTACACATTTTCAATTTTTGAGTGATGAAGTGCAGGTACACAGCAGGTGAGCTTCAAACCCTCGAGTGTTGTACAAATTAAGTATCTAGAAAAGCATCTACAATAAATCATGAGGCTTGTTTAATTGCTACTTGCAGTAGTTGATCGTTAGTGTATTTCCAACCAGTAAACGAATATGCATTTGAAGTCCTTTGAAAGAATAATGATAAATAAGAAACAAACATTCAAAATGAGTGGTCATAAGAAGTTTTTCCTTACTTTGGGCATCTAACGCGTTGTCACATTTTCTTTCCTAAGCAAGCATAGCATAAATGATTACAGAAAACGAAACAAAGGGACAAAGTGCTCTTACCACATTAGACGCGGTACCTCCAGGGCAACATCCAAGCAATATCAGTCCAACTGAAAGAGAAGGTGAAAGTCCCAAGAATTTACCAACAAGCATTCCAAAAACTGGCATAATGGTGTACTGAGCAGCACATCCAAATAGTATCTGATCAAGAAGTGGCAAACAAGAACTCATGAACAGGGAAAACCTCCGTTGAGGTCAGCATTTTATTATACAAAATTGATGCAAGTGCTTTTTTCCTTTAAAACCTCAACCACTCGACAACGAATAACAAATAATCCACAATGCTAATGAACTCCAAAAAAAAAATAAAAAATAAAAAATAAAAAAAGGAAATGAAAGATTTGATCAATTACTCAATTGCATAAAAGAGTTCAGATATAATGGTTCAAGAAGTAATCCAAAAAAAAAAAAAAAAATCAAAATTGAAATTCTAATGAAGCAACTAAATCAACATTAAAATTAGTATACAATTCTACAAAGTTCCATTATAATTTCTCCCATTGCGAACTAAAATTTTCAAATTGAAGCACATTTCAAGCTTTTAATTGAAGAACCAAAATTTCAGACAATTCATTTATATTCCAATGCCACATCCACAGAATTATCTCCAAAAAAAAGGGAACTTGAGGGATAGATAAAGAATTAAAGACTCACGGAGACAGGCCTTCGCAGAAACAAACCAATCAAGTCTTTGAGCTCCAAGGTGAGACCCATAGACAACATGATTAACCCAAGAGACAAACTATATGAAGCTGGTCGTGCTTTCACAAACCAAACAAAAGCAGAAGGATTTGAGCAAGCAACAACGCCTCCCACAGTCACATATAGAGGATACAAGCTAGCTGCAGTGGACAACACATTTTCCCACCTGGGTTTTGCTTCAATCACAGGTAAATTCCTAGAATCCTCATGAACTGATCTAACCACTAATGCTCTGGTTAAATTCCTTAATTTTGGTGGTGAAGAAATGGTAAATCTATGTATAGGTTTAGTGATAGAGAATTTGAGGTGAGAGCTTTGAGGGACCGTAGTAAAGGGACTGAGAGTGTGCGAAAGAGACATAGATTTTATTGGACTGGAACCTGGACGGAGAGAGTGAGAGATTGACAATAAAAATTTGAACTTTGCCTAGATTTTCTTTTTCAGGCTCGTAAGTCATAACGAATTCTGATTCTGAAATTCTTATGGAGTTTTGCAGTTAGCGGTGGGTTGACCCAGGGTGGACCCACGTCGTGCTTAGCGGGTCCATTGTAAACAGGTGTCATCCACATGCAATACGCTAGTGGACGCCACGTCATTTGGCAAATTGATTTTTGACTAAAATGTTTTAGATAATGATTTACGGCTATAATATTTGGTTTATAGGCCAATTAAAATAATATTTATATTTAATATTTAATTCATTATATATAAATATAGTGTGCCAATTGTAGATTTTTAATGCAAGAAAACAAAACAAAAATATGATTTCACGTGAATGTCTAGATCTCAGTATTTATCTTCATAAAGGGTAAATATGCACTATATTCTTTGTCTTTTTAATCAAAATTTTTTCTCACTAGATTTTAGTCTTTTTAATCAAAATTTTTTCTCACTAGATTTTTCTGGTAAAGGTTTTTAATAAGATAGTTTTTCCAACGCATATTGAATAAATGAATAATGTACTTTTTTTCGTCATTAAGAATTTTTTCAATAGATTTTTTCTTAATAAGATTTTATCGTGACATATTCTTTGAAGAATGGACATTCAATGGAGAGTATTATGAAATAAGTAGATGTCCTATGATTTAGAAGTCTGTATTTTTAATTATTATAAACTCTATATTCCTGATTTGTATAGGACTTTATTAAGATTCCACTTATATAACTATATAAGGACAATGGTGACAAAATTATTATTAGCATAATTATTACTTTAATGATATTAATCCTTAAGCAAGACGTCTGTACATATGAAAATTCCGTAATAAAGAAAAGTTTGACAATAAGATCTTTAATGTTACAGAATTAAGATTACAGCTGTTGGATCCAAGGTCTCATATATAATCAAATTAATATAAATATGAATTTTTAAAAATAATTTTTAATTTCGGAAAATGAAATTATTGAAATAATAACTTTGGGTACTTTTTTAATATGTTGTGAAATAATATTCTTTCTTTTTTTTTTTAAGGAAAAATAATATTCTTTCTTAAAGCTTTTAGACTTAAATATTGAACTTTTCAAATAAATTATTATTCCATATGAATAAGTCTTCCACGAAGAAGCAGCCAAGAAACCTATTCCATTATCTACCAATCAAAGTCAGCGTCGTCGATGGTGGAGCTACAGCTACCACAGTTTCTGAATCAAGGATTAATCTTAAAGAATCAAACGTTTATTTATTTTAAAAAAAAAAAGAAACAATAAATAATATATTTCAACAATAATTTAACATATATCAATACAATTATGCTTCCTAATAGACAAATAAAGAAATTAATTTATTACTTTTTTCCTCAAATTTCTAAATGAACATAGGAAAGAAGAAATTATTTTCCTTGAGTAACAGGATATCCAATTCCATGCCTTCTAGTTGGAAAAACCACAAACAACAAGCTGCAAATAAGCCCAATCCCAACAGGAACAATATCCAAAACCTCTTGAGTTTCTTGCTGAGGCATAGAAAAGAAGCAACTCAGCACATTCTTATCTTTCAAAGCCACAGCAACAAAAACAAGAACAGATAGAACTGCATGAACTCCATCGATGAACTTAATCCTGTACTTTCTCAAATCTTGATCGCCTAAACTTTCAGGATCGGGACAATCAAACAAGAAAATCCCTTTAAAGGTTGCAAAACCATAGTAGACTTGACCATCTGTTGACTTTATGCTATCTGTGAAAGAAGCAAGAAAGCAAGAAACAGCAAGAAGAGAAAGAAGAACGAAGGTTAAAAATTGCGTGACGGAATCACAGGCGCCATTTTTGGTAAAGACTGGTGTTAGAAGCTGAAAGGCTAAAAGGGTGCCTGTAGGAAGAAGATTTGCTAGATTTGCTGTGCTTGTTAGGGTTTGTGAGATTGCTCTTTGTGAAAGAGTAGGAGTTTTTGTTGGGGATTTTGGGGTTGATGGTTCTTGGTCGTTATTGGTGCTTGTTGAGCTTGAACTTTCTGTGGATACTTCTTGTATGGAAGTTTGCTTTGTGGATGTAGTTCTTGCCCTGAGAGACATTTTGGGTTGGTTTTCTTTCTTTCTTTCTTTCTTTCTTTTCCGATCTGATGAAAGTTTTATGCTATATGATAGAGGTGGAGATGGTGCTGATCAATACATAGGGAAGGGGAAGATATTTAAATTTAGAATTAAGAAAGAAATGAAATTCGTAGATGGTTGAAATGTTCATACAAGAAAATGGGAGTTTAGGTATATATGTACTAAGATTCGGTTTGAAAGTTTGTTGCTTCTATTCTATTTCCACGTAATTTCCTTCCCTTTCGTATGTGATTAACTTTTAGTTCAAAAGTTATTGTTTATTAATTAGTTCAACGTGACTAAACTCGAATCGAATTAGGCAATCCATTATAATAGGTTTTTATTTGTAGAAAATGGCTTTCTTCCTGGGTCGTAGAAACTTTAATATTGCTCAAAGAAAACGTGTAATACATATACATGTTTTTCAATCAAAATTAGTTAGAGTCCTTTCAAGAGTGATATTTCAAAGTTGAAATTGCATAACTACTACTACTGATAAAAAAAAATATGTTGATTTGGAAATTATATATATATATATATAAATATAGAATTTCTAGGTTGGTTTTTTGCTTTTTTTAGTCAATAGTGATGTGGAATAATTAAGGAATATAATACTATTTTACTTGTAGTTTTTTTTTAATCATAGTGGGATTCAATTTGTTAAGGTAAGTTCCAACCTGTCTGTGAAGGTTTTTACATTTTTATATTCATAGAAGAAAATATTATATATGTTTAAGATAATTTGGTCTAAATGATTGAGGCGCGTTAGATTTCAACTCGGTGATTACAAGATGAAATTGGAGTGGCTATTTTATGGTTTTTGGAACCGAAACTGTCGGTTCAGAATTGGTAGGAATCAGAACTAAAATCGGTTCGAATCGAAATTAGAATCGGGAGTCTGCGGTCCGATTCTGATTTCAATTTTTGAGGAACCGTGAAACGGTGGTACCAAGAACCGGCCGGCACCGATTAGAATCAACGACTTTTTCAACCGGTTAGAACCAATGGTCCTTTCCGATTTCAACAACTTTTTTTAAAAAATATTTTTTTAAAATCCTCAAATTAACCCTCATAACAAATGTATAATGACTAGTTTTAAAGGCATTCGTGGAAAATTGATTTTTTGGATTTACTATAAGTATCTGTTTTCATTTTTAAAAAAAATTAAGTTCAAGCCTTTTTAAAAAAAATAAATTAAATTTGAGCCCTTTTTCAAAAAAAAAAAAAAAGTTCAAGCCTTTTTTGGTGATTACAAGATGAAATTGGATGTGGCTTTTTATGGTTTTCTTGCGAACCGGAAACTGTCACGGTTCAGGAAATTGAGTAGGAATCACGAACTAAAATCGGCTTCGAACCTCGAAATTAGACATCGGGAGGTCTGCGCCGTCCGATCTGCATTTCAACTTCTTTGAGGAGGCAACCCTGAACGGTAGGTACCAAGAACCGGCCGGCACCTGATAAGAATCAACGACTTTTCTCAACACCGGTCTAAGAACCAATGGTCCCTCTTCCGATTTCACACAACTTTTTTTAAAAAATATTTTTAAAAATCCTCAAATTAAACCCTCATAAACAAATGTATAATGACTAAGGTTTTAAAGGCATTTCGTGGAGAAAATTGATTTTTTGGCCATTTACTATAAGTATCTGTTTTCAATTTTTTAAAAAAAATTAAGTTCAGCCTTTTTAAAAAAAATCAAATTAAATTTCGAGCCCTTTTTTCAAAAAAAAAAAAAAACGTTTTCAAGCCCTTTCTTTTTAAAAACAAATAAATTAAGTCTTTTTACTAATCAATACATTATTCTTTAAAAGTCTTTTCTAAAAAATTTCTTTCATAAATATCTTAAAATCTTTCAATCTTTGACAAAAAAAAATGGCTTCCCTCAATTTTTACTCTTATAATTATATGATCGGCTGAAAAAATCAATCAGTGCAGTGTTAAAACTGTCCATTCTTTGAAACCATAAGGAATTCAAAATTGCTTAAACCGTAACCGTTCGGTTTTAAACTGGTAACCAACAATTTCCAATTCAACAGGAAACCGAAATATTTCATATCAAATAGTCATGAAGTTTTCAAGCCTTTTTAAAAAAAATAAATTAAATTTGAGCCCTTTTTCAAAAAAAAAAAAAAAGTTCAAGCCTTTTTTAAAAACAAATAAATTAAGTCTTTTTACTAATAATATTTTCTTTAAAAGTCTTTTCTAAAAATTATTTCATAAATATTTAAATTTTCAATTTTGAAAAAAAAATGTTCCCTAATTTTTTATCTTATAATTATATGATTCGCTGAAAAATCAATCAGAGTGTTAAAACTGTCCATTTTGAAACCATTAAGGAATCAAAATGTAAACCGTAACGTTCGGTTTTAAACGGTAACCAAAATTCCAATTCAAAGAACCGGAATATTATATCATAATAGTATGAAGTTTTATACTACATCTAATTTTATGCTACGAGTGTCAAGTATATTTTCATCACACATATCACGTCTAATTTTTGTCATGCAAACCATGTTGATTTTATAGGGACTTCTATCTATTTTTAGCTCAAAAATAAATAAATAAATCTATTTGAGTTTTAAAAGAATCCATTAATTCAATTTATAAATCCAAAATTAAACTAAAATTATTAAAAATGGAATTATTTATCCAAAAAATTCAAATTAAACTACTGAGAAAAACATAGGTTGATAAATAAATTTAGGAGGAAAGTACATTAAATTATCACATAATTTATAACTTTTATTAAGAAAGTTTATATTATTATCAAAAAGGTTTGTTTCAAGTAGTGATGCATTTTCAAGTTTATATTATTTTTTTTCTGATATTAGAGCACGGTAATTTGTTTATTAGACATTTAGTTATCAAATACACCAATATAAAAATTTATTAAAAATATTTTTTTACTTATAAAGGAAAATTATCATTAATTAACTTAAAATAGAACTACAGCAATAAAATGACAAGTTGCGAAACAGCACTCGTCTGTTACATCATTTAGCGACGATGCTAGGACACACCAGCATTTTCATTCTCGATTGAGCCCCCCCTCCATTAACATTTAACAGTGGGTTCCTAAACCCTAACTTCCGTATCTAACCAGGTACTCCTCTAATTTTTATCTTTTTTTCCCCCTTTGTTCTCTCCATTTATATCACTGATTTGTGATGTTTGTTTGTTTTGTTGCTGCTGTATAATAGGAATGAAGCGAAAGCGTGGACGCCCAAAAAAATCTGTTGCAAAAAAGCCAAAAACTTTAGCGAATAAGGGTGAAGAAGCTTTCTTGAACTTTGTTGGCCAAAATGTCCAAGAAAAATCTGCATCAGAGCATGTCAATGATAATGGGTTTGATCAATTTAGTTCTGATAAGGTCTCTAGTTCGTCTTCCTCTTCTTCTTCCTCAGGTGAAAGTGATGATGGGTTACAGTTTGGGAGAGTTAACAGTGATTCTGATGAACCACAAATTGATAGAAGGGTTAAGAGAACAGCTAACAGGCGTGGTAGGACTAAAAAGCTGGAAGCTTCAAAGAAAAGTTTAAATGCCAATGTTGTTTCTTCTAATGGTTTGGGTTCATCAAGCAAGAAAGAATTACCACCATTGAAGATTCCAGCTCAGGATTCAATGTTAAATAAGAAAGATTTGAAAGCTTCCTTAGCGGTATGCTTTTTTATGTTACAGGGTTTATGGCAAAAGTTTGTCTTTTTGTGAATTTTAAGTTTTAGGGAGTTTTGCTCGTTGGATTTTGTGGTGGAAAAAGTTTTAATTTGATTGTACTTACTATTCCGTTTTGGTTTTGTGTATTTGTTTTAAAGGTCATTAAAAAGGTAATGGAAATGGAAGAAGCCGTACGTTTTAGTGCTCCTGTGGATCCTGTTTCTCAGGGATTACCCGTAAGTATGGATTACTATTATATATTTGATAACTGTGTTCTGTTGTCAGAGATGCATGTTATTGTAGTGCTTGTGTTTCCAAGAACATGTGAGACTGTAGGAGTACCTGCATTGTACTAGAATAGATGCATGGTCCAATATTTATTTGAGCAAAATATGTAGCCCGAAGGCATTACGCTCTAGGTAACCTCATTTGGTTAGTTGATTTCGTGGTTTCATAGTTGCATAGATAATTATTGGAGCATTTGTTTCAGATATATGAATTTCTCAGTGTTTCGTTATGGCTATAAGCTTCTAAGAATATAGACGCTAAAATCTTTTTGTGGTTTCACCATTGCTTACATTAGAGAACAAATTAACCTGAGACCTCAATTTAGAAATTCTTATTGCACACAAGCTGTTTTAGTTATGGCCAAAGGAAAAGAATGGCTTTTGCAGTTGGAGGAGGGACTCCTTAAAGGATTGCATTATAAGCTTTAAGGGTGCAATGCATTTGTAAGTTTTAATTAATTTATTTATTTTTTGTTCCCAATCTAACTGGTTCCCTTAATACACTATCTGATCTCTTTTCTTCACCCTTGTATTAAGAAAATGTCTGCAAGAACTGCTTTGGACAAAACATAATGATTTTATCATTCCATTATGGCATCAGTTCTTAAAATCAATGTGGCTATTGTTCTGGGTGTTGAGCATGCTTATGCTGTTATACATCTTTTTGGAGTTGTGATGTGTGTCTTCATCATAATCTATTTATGACTTGGATCCTTCTTTTTCTCTGTCCCTTACATGTTGGGACCTGGGGCATTGGCGCAACCAGGATTATTTCAACATCATAGATACACCAATGGATTTTGGAACGATATGTAGCAATCTTCAAAATGGTGTCAAGTACCTGAACTCAGAAGATGTATATAAAGATGTCGAGTACATTTGGGAGAATTGTCGTAAGTATAACAAAAAGGGTGAATATATTGTGTACCTTATGAAGAGGGTGAAGAAGAAGTTTATGAAATACTGGACAGCAGCAGGGCTACATAGTGAGATAACGAAGAAGCCCAGCGGTATGAATTTCATGATTGTGATTTTCTACTTTGACTTGACTTGGCTAGCACAGTTTTCTTCTGGAGAAAAATTTTATGGGATCAGTGCACAGGTTTCATATAAAACGTTGGGCCCTACTTGCTAGTGAAAAGGGGCAAAAACATGTAACCATTGTACACCATGTTTTGGTTATTTGGCAGGAAAAAATTAGCTTGTTATATAAGATTAATTTCCGGCCTGATTTTTCTCTTCATTACTTCAGTTCTCTTCCCCCCCTCTCTTTTCCTCTGTGTTTTTCTTATCAATGAATTTGCATTTAATTATTCCTTCTTCATGATAGTTTAATTATTAAATCTGCTAAATCTCAAGCTTTACCTGTTAGTTCATGGTCATTGTACCATGACTAGATTGTATAATGTATGATGAAATTTCCTGCAGTATTACAGGCAGAATTGTAATTTTTTTTTTGTTGCAAAGTGGTGCGCGTACCATAAAATGAGATAGAATACCTTGTGCAATGGGGACATGCTTCATATCTGGATTTTCCAATCACAAAGACATGCATCACGATATATTGATTTCTTTTACTTTTCAATTACATGTTTTCCTTTTGTAGGACATTCTCAGTTAGCACCTTCTGGTGATCATGCTGTGGGATATAGCAGGCATGATCCAATGTCTACAGTGAACCGTCCAGTGAGTAACCCCATTCAGATGCAGCAGAACAATTTTGGCACCAGCCAGGCCCAGCCTCAGCCTCAAGTGCCTCTATCAAGCTACACCCAACCCTATCATCAGTCTCAGCCAAGCACCAACCAAGTGCCACAATTTTCCCGGTTCCCAGCTGGTGTGGATGCAGGTACATTGTGCCTCAAGCTCTCAGTAACAACAGTAGTTATCGGGTTCATAACTATTCAGGTCTTGCAAGTTAATTAAGTCAAAGAAAGGCCCTAAATTTCTGTTGCAATAATTGCTACCCCTTAGTTTTTGCTAGATATCAAATTTAATCCAGATCTGCACCAAGAACAGCTTCTCAGTTTTATTATTTGTTCGTTAATATATTTTTCTAATGGTCATCTTAGCTGACTTGCCATTGTTTAAGCCATCTAAATAAATTGTGAACTTACCTCTATTTCTTTAATGAGTGTTATTGTTAAAAAATTACACATTTATCATTGAAATCCTTATGCAATATTGTTAAAATATTTTCTTCCTTTCTGCACCAACTAAATTAAGATAGAAACAAAGCACTAGGGATGAATTCTAAACAGACATAAAGCTGTGTTAAGTAGAGTACATAAAACAAAACCATGTTCAATTATTGATTATTTCCGATTTCTTTTCCTATTTATATGATAGTTCTGATTTCAAATCCATGTGGGTAGCCTTCTGTTTCTTATTTGGAAAATTTTGGCTTTCTGCTCAAATTTCAAACTCAATGTCAGCATTCCTTGGAATTTGATGTTATTATGCAACGATTAAGATAAACGTGTATGTGCAGATATGCCAAGGGGAGGTGGACGTTTGGGTAGGGCTCAGCGCAACCATTCAGATGGAGTTGTTAATGAGGGGAGTATGAAGGAAGGGACTGATGTACACGCTGCATCTAATCTACCGCTGCCACGAACACCTAACTCAGACCCAGCTGCAAACACTCCTGTTGGATGCACACCATCCTCAGCATCTGGCCCTCCAACTCCAGGAGGTGATATTGGATCCTCAACCACCTCCACTACAGTTACAGGCAATCGGCGTGCCCTTCAAGTCATCGGTGAAGAGTAAGAATATTTTAATTGCTTTATTATAAGTAGGTATTTTGTTTTTTTTAATTCAAATTTGTACATACATGAATCTAAAACTAATTGTTCCTTATTTCAGTTTTGATCCGCCTGATTGTGTTCGCATGATCACACGTATTTTTAAGATGAGATTTGATTCGGCAGGATACAACTGGAAGTCTGTGACTGCAGACACCAAGAACTTCTACTGGCAGGAGTTCAAGGTAAAATTATTTCAATTCTAAATAAATGTAATTTTGTGACTTATTTTCCATATGTAATTTGGTTTAAATTATGTTCTGTGTTGTTCTTATTTTCTTTATTTTTTAAGAAACACTTTGTATGGGATGAGGCAATCGAGGCCTCTGTGAAAAGGAATTGGAATAGGAAGGCTGCAGATCGCTATAGGGGTATGCTTGGTAAATGGAGAAAGAAGAAGCCTAAATATCTACCTGATAATATTTGGGAGAGTTGGAGGCCATATTGGGAGACTCCTGAGTTCAAAGCCAAATCTGAACAGTGTTCTAAGAACCGTTTGAGCGAGACTGGTGGTCCAGGGGCTGGTCCCTCACGCCATACAGGAGGATCTATCTCTTACAAAGTACATGCAGAACGCTTGGTATATATCCATTTTTCCTTAATTTAATTAACTTCAAACTTTGTAAAATTATTTATTCTTCCAATAAATGTAATAGACATGATCTCAATTTTAGGAGGCTCAATTACAACGACCACCACTTCCGCATGAACTTCTAGAGGCAACACACACTAGGAAGAAGGATGGGCAATTTGTGGACCAAAAGTCCAAGAGTGCATATGTAAGTTACATAACCACTGGCAATGAACATTATTGTGCTTATAATTGGACATTGTGAATACTGAACCTACTCTATATGTTTTTATGACTTTAGGAGGCGATTTTGTCTAGGGTTCAAACTGAATCTCAGCCCCAAGATGGATCTTGTGACCCGTGCTCAGTCGACGTTGCACAAATATATCTGCAGGAAGTGGGTGGTGTAAAGAAGCGACAGGTTTACGGCCTTGGCTCGCAAGCATCAGTTCTCTTTGGACGCTCTAGTGCCTCTAGCTCTTTTGCAACATCTCGCCTTCAAAATAATAATATCGACTCTCGGATTCAGGAGATGGAGCAACGCATGAAGGAGCTGGAGATGCGTCATCAACAGCAGCAGGAGGAGTTGCAGCAGCAAGTCCAGCAACAAGTTGCAAAGCTACTTCGTTCCCATTTAGTAGCTATGGCAGGTGGCTTACCTGCTCCACCTACCCTTCCTTCGCAACATCCTCGACCACAGTCTTCAGGTGCTCATCAAGGCAACGATGATGCTGCTAATCTAGGCAGACTTTAGATGTTGTATCTGTTGTATATAAATTTTGTACTTTTAGGCTCTGTTCGGGAACAGCGTTTGAGGGAGAGTTTAGAGTTTTGACTGTGTCAAAACACTGTTTTTATAAATTATATCCTTAGGTAGAATAGTATATAAAATAGCTGTTAGCGGATAAGATAGCGTTTATTAAAAAGTTAATCCATCTAATGTTCAGTGTTACCATTTTTTGATTAAATTGTTTTTAACAATTATGTCCTTAATTAACTTATATCATCTTTATCCTTAATTAACTTACATTATCCTTAATTAATTTATATTAACATTAGTTTAAAGTCTTTTGTTATGGTTATGCAAGTCTGCAATTAAGTTAAAAAATTACATTATTTTACACAAATTTAAACAAAATAATTTAATAATGAATTAAAAGAGGAATATGTGAGGAAATTGTATTATCATTTAAGAAATAATAATGATTTCAATTTATATAATTGGACTATACACTATAAATTGCCTTTTTTTTTTTTTTTTTTTTTTTTTTACACTATAAATTGGGCCTTTTTTTGTTATTTTTTTTTTTTTTGTAATGAGTTCCATTGCTATAATCAATCTTCAAATGTCATTTTTGGTTCAATTTTAAAAGTCAATAAATTAATCAAATAACTATTTTAACCGACATTTTTTTTTTTTTTTTTTTTTTTTTGTAATGAGTTCATTGCTATAGTCAATCTTCAAATGTCATTTTTTGTCATTTTAAAGTCAATAATTAATCAAATAACTATTTTAACCGAATACTTTTGCTGTAACAGTTATATGAACAGTTACCTAATAGCTATTAAAACAGCGAAGAGCTACTCTAACAGTTAATCTTGCTGAATAAATCCTTAGACATTGAATACATATTTAATTTATTTTATTTTATAAAAAGTTTCTCTAATTTTATATTTATTTTGCATTTATTGCTTTAAATAAAACTATTTTTTTCTAACCGTGTTGCATGTTGTTTATTCTTGTAGTTTTATTTGTTGCACATTGTTTATATATATATATATATGATGAGATGAACAATTTCTTTTAATCTTATATACTTATAATTATTATGCAAGCGTCGGGAATAACTATTTTTGTCATGAAGCTTATGTTTAAAACTTTTAATACCAACAAACCAATGTTACATAACATAATGAAGAAAAAAAAATCAAACATTTATTATTAATATCAAATCTAACGTAAAGTTTTTTTTATATATATAATTACAAAATCTAACTAATTTGGTTATTAAATAAAGTATATAAAATAAAACAAAATAAAAGTGAAGATAAAAAGTGATTAAACAAAACTAACCTATTAATTTTTTATTATTAAAGCTTACCATTCTAAAAACTCAAAAAAATATTATTAATATTTTCACATAATAATTAAAAAATATTGGAAAATATAAAACACGCTTTAAAAATTAAAATAAATAAATAATTAATTATATAACTGATATAATAGAGAATTTGAAGGGTAACCTAATTACATGGCGAGTAGTTTATTACATAATAACTAAAATTAATATTAAAAGATAAAAAAAAAAATAATAATAAAGTCAAACAAAAGAGCTTTACATGGTATCGAAAAACTTCTCTTATATGGCTTTATGATATAAACGTAAACATATATATATTGATTGAGATTTGAAGATTATCTTTCGTGACAAACATCTTTAGATAGAAACATCAACGTGATGGTAAATTCTCTATCTAATAAATAGTCGGCCATCTCGTAATTATTAATAATATTTAATACTTTGATATTATTATTAATAAATTTATATTTTTATTTATATTTTGCGACTCAGTTGGCAATGCAGACTTACAGTTTCGGGAGAATTCTCGAATTTGATTCCATTATTTACCCACATGAAGAGATCAAAAGTTTTAACTGTGACTGAGATTGAGTCGGATTAAACGGTCACCACCGTTGATATTTAATATTTTTTACTTAATTTAATTTAATTTTAAACAAAACTTTTACAAAGTAGTGTATAACATTTTATTTCTCTGCTGAAAAAGTTGTATTATATTATATATGGCAACGACAATTGTTGATATTTGCGTCACAAATTTTAAGCTAACAACAATAAATTGCCAAGTTGCGAAACACCGCCCGTCTGTTACACCATTTAGCGACACTGCTTGGACACACCAGTACTTTCATTCTCGATCAAGCCCATTCTTCCTTTATCTCTCTCGATTAACACTGTATTTTTCTCTTCAAAACCCTAATTTCTAGATTATCTTCAAAGCCGCAGATCTAACAAGTTATTCTTTTATATGTATATTTATCTTTTTATCGTTTGTTCTCTCCAATTTTTATCACTGATTGTAGTGTTTGTTTGTTTGTTGCTGTTGTTTAATAGAAATGAAGCGAAAGCGTGGACGCCCCAAAAAATCTGTTGCAAAAAAGCCGGCAACTTTAGAGAATACTGGTGAAGAAGCTTTCTTGAACTTTGTTGGCCAAAACATCCAGGAAAAATCTGCGCCAGATCATGTTAATGACAATGGATTAGCTTATGATAATGCTGGTGTTAATAATAATGGGATTGGTCAATTTAGTTCTGATATGGACTCTAGTTCGCCTTCCTCTTCTTCTTCTTCAGGTGAAAGTGATGATGGATTGCAGTTTGGAGGAGCTAGTAGTGATTCTGATGAACCACACATTGATAGAAGGGTTAATAAAAAAGCTAACAAACGTGGTAGGCCTAAAAAACTAGAGGCTTCAAAGAAAACTGCAAATGCCACTGCTAATTATTCTAAGGGATTGGGTTCTTCGAGCAGGAAAGAATTATCACCAATGAAGCACCCAGCTCAGGATTCAAGGTTAAATAAGAAAGAATTGAAAGCTTCCTTAGCAGTATGTGTTTTTGTGTTATTGGGTTTATGTCAAAAGCTTGTTTTTTTTTCGTGAATTTTGGATTTTAGGGAATTTCTACTATTTTGGTTCAGTGTTTGAAAGGCTTTATTTGATTGAACTCACAGTTTAGTTTCTGTTTTGTTTATGCGGTTTAAAGGTCATTAAGAAGGTAATGGAAATGGACGAGGCTGTACCTTTCAGTGCTCCCGTGGATCCTGTTTCTCAGGGATTACCTGTAAGTGTGGATTGCTATTCAGTGCATATATATGTTGGATAACTGTGCTCTGTTGTCAAAGATGGCATGTTATTGTTGTGCTTGTGTCCCTAAGATAATGTGAGACTGTAGGAGTACCTGCATTGTACTAGCACAGAGTGCATGTTCAAAATATATTTGGCAAAATGATGCCCAAAGGCATTGCACTCTAAGTTACTTCATTTGCATCAGTTGATTTTGTAGTTGCATGGCTAATTATTGGAGCATTTGTTTTGGATATGTAGTATTGACTGCTTCATTTTGGCTTTCAACTTCTAAGGATAAGAAAGACAGACACTCGAATCTTTTAGTGGTTTCACCATTTAGAGAACAAACTAACCTGAGAACTAAATGTAGAAATTGTTATTGCATAGAAGCTGTTTTAGTTATGGCCAAGGAAAAAGAATGGCTCTTACAGATGGGGGGAGGGACAGTTTAAAAGATTGCATTCTAATATAAGGGTACAATGCATTTGTCTGTTTTTTTGTTTCACAATCTGACCGGTGTCCTCAATACACTATCTTGTCTCTTTTCTTCACCCTTGTATTTAAAATAAAATTTCTGAAAGAGCTGCTTTGAACAAATCATAATTATTTCATATTTCCATTATGGCATTAATTTTCAAAGTGGTTATTGTTCAGGGTATTGTGCATGCTTATGCTATTATACCCTTTTTTTTGTGAGTTATGATGCGTTTCTTCATGATAATCTATCTATAACACGGATTCTTCTTTCTCTGTCTCTCTCTTACATGTTGGGGACTGGGGGTGTTGGTCGCAAGCAGGATTATTTCAGCGTCATAGATACACCAATGGATTTTGGAACGATATGTAGCGATCTTCAAAATCGTGTCAAGTACCTGAACTCAGAAGATGTATATAAAGCTGTCCAGTACATTTGGGAGAATTGTCGTAAATATAACAAGAAGGGTGACTATATCGTGTACCTTATGAAGAGAGTGAAGAAGAAGTTTATGAAATACTGGACAGCAGCAGGGCTATGTAGTGAGATAATGAAGAAGCCTAGTGGTATGAATTTCATGATTATGATTTTTCTGGATTTGGCTTGACTTGCCTCCCACAATTCTTCTGGACAAAAATTTTATGGATCAAGGCTCAGGTTTTGTATAAAACGCTAGTGAAGAGGGGGCAAAAACATTAAACATGTATCCATTGTACACTGTGTTTTGTTTATTTGGGAGAAAAAATTAGCTATTTATAGAAGATTAGTTGCAGGGCCTGATTTTTTACCTTCATCTATAATTCTCTTCTTTTTTTTTTTTTTTTTTTTTTTTTGGGCCCCTGATTTTTTTTACTTCATCTATAATTCTCTTTCTTTTTTTTTTTTTTTCTTTTTTTTTGGCCGACTCTTTGCTTTCTATCAATGAAATGGGCATTTTAATTATTCCTTCTTCATGATGGTTTTTTTTTTTTTTTTTTTTTCTTTTTTTTGGCCGACTCTTTGCTTTCTTATCAATGAATGTGCATTTAATTATTCCTTCTTCATGATGGTTTAATTATTAAATCTGCTAGGTTGTCCATGGTATCTCAAGCTTTCCTGTTAGTTTATGGTTATTGTTCCATCAATCTATACTGAAATTTCCTGCAGTATTTATCATAAGCTGAATCGTATTTTCTCTATTGCAAAGTTCTATGAATACCATAAATAAGATATAATACCTTGTGCAATGGGGACACTCTTCGTATCTTGATGTCCCAGTCTTGAAGGCATGCATCATGATATATTGATTTCATTTAGTTTTCATTTACATATTTTCTTTTTGTAGGTCATTCTCAGTTAAAACCTTCTGGTGATTGTGCTGTGAGATATAGCAGACATGATCCAATGTCTACAGTGAACCGTCTAGTAAGTAACACCATTCAGATGCAGGAGAATAATTTTGGTGGCAGCCAGCCTCAATTGCCTCCATCAAATTACACCCAACCTTATCACTATCATCAGCCTCAGTCGAGTAACAACCAAGTGCCACAATTTTCCCGGTACCAGGCGGGTGCGGATAGCATTTATGCAGGTAGATTGTGCCTCAAGCTCTCAATAACAAAAATAGTTGCCAGGTTCACAATTATTCAAGTCTTGCATACGAATTAAGCAAGGCGCTAATTTCTGTTGCAATAATTAAGCCCTTTTTTTGGGCTAGATATCAAATTTAAAGCAGAGTTGCACCAAGAACAAGTTCTTCGTTTTATGCATTTATTTATTATTATATATATATTTTTTAATGATCGTTGTTGCTGACTTGCCATTGTTCAACCCATCTAAATAAATTCTGAATGTAAAGTCATTTCTTTCATGAGTGTTATTGTCAAAAAATTACACATTTAGCATTTTAATCATTATGCAATATTTTGAAAATATTGCTTCCTTTATGTACTGGCTAATTAAAATGAAAACAGAGGGCTATAGTGGAATTCTGAATGGACATAAAGCTGTTCTGTTGAGTGTATAAAACAAAGCCAGGATGAATTATTGATTATTTCCAACTTCTTTTCCAATTATATGATACGTTCTGATCCACTTCCATGCAGATAACCTTCTGTTTCTTAAATGGGAAAATTTTGGTTTTCTACACAAATTTCAACCTCCATGTCAGCATTATTTGGAACTTTGATGTTATTGTTGGAATGTTTTTTGAGAGTTCTAGGGTGGTATTATTTGAGGGTTTGCCCAGCGTGTGATATCATTAATTTTTTTATGTTTATTTTATGGAATGTCTTTTATCTTATACCTTGTCTTTGCATAGCGTGTCCAAAGTTTTTATGAGAACTTTGGTTGTGATGTACAAGCTCAATTTTTTACTTTCTTGTAGTAGAATTATTTGAGATCTGTACTTCTCTCAAAGCTAGCTGAGGTTAGACAAAGCTTTCAGAACTATGCAACAACTGTTGTTTACGCTTTAAAGCTGGAAGCTTGGATCATAGCAAGTGAAATCAGATTGAAGAGGCTGAACTGAACCTTCCAGATGTGGAAATTTGAGTGTGCTATGGGGTGAATGACTTATCTGAGTTAGACGTTGATGGTAGGCAATGATCTTGTTGTGGTTTTCTGACATCTTGATGGTAGCCTCTATCTGGACTGAATCAGGGGTTATTGGTGTCTGTTGGATGCTTCAATGCTGGTATTTGGATTCGCTTCCTCCCCACCCCATATTTCTTCTTCCTCTTCTCCCTTTTCTGAAAAAGGAAAACTGAATGTTTCTAGATGCTTTCAATATTTATTGCTTTGGGAGGAGATTTCTGATCTGTGGTTACTATGATTAAAGATATAATGTTAATTTGATGAATTTTCACTGCATTTCTCAAGAAACTAGTAACAAAAGAAATTCTTTCATGTTGCCAAAGTAAAAACAGAGGAAAACTGGTAGTTAGGTTAAACTCATGGGATTTAAAATGCTATTCCTCCTCTAATTTGTTGCTGTTGCGTGTCATGAGTGTTTGTGGTAATGTGCCCAATGATACATTTATTTTATGGAATTTATATTTATTTGGTTGCCTTCATAAAGTTATCTAACTTAGTCGGACGCTTCATAACCAAGTTAAGAGAAAAGTCCTTGTTTCTACAAGGTATTGATTTCACCTGCAACTGTTATCCATTAGCCGTTTCTCTTGCAGGGCATTCCCACAGAGGAGGACCACCTTCTACTGTTCTTCCTATGGAGCGGGAAAAACAGATACCCAAGCAACCAGTTGTCTCTATGGCGAATGGTTCAACCCATTCCCAGCCACAACAGCCCCAGTTGAGCTCATATTATCTTTGGCCACCACAACAGAGCACTGGCCAGCCACATCCATCTCAGTCACATATTGGTGCAGATTTTAGCAATGCTGGTATGACATGTCTATATTGTCATTTTTGGAAATACAACACCTCTTGCTTCAAATTCCATTCACTAAATCTACATTTTATCCTTTTTCTACAGTGACATTCCAATTATTTGTGTCCTCTAAAAGTTAAAGTGTAGTTCTCGGCCCTGATTATTTTGTAGGACAAATGCCTTTCCCTCCTACAGACTGTGCCATGACGCAGAATGGGTTTCCTTCTAGGAGTTCTGTGGATCCAATGTTCAGCATGAACCAGCCCCAACATCACCTGCATAGCCAGCGACCAAGTGAATCACATCAGCCTCGGGCAAGCATTGGGCATCCTCAGCCCTCCCAGCCACTGCCTATTGTTGATATCTCAAGTGCAGGTTTGATATCCTTGAAGATTATAATATTGCACATTAAAATATTTCCTGGATTTTGATCTGTATATATTTTAATAACAGTTAGAAGTCACAAAAGCAAAAGCAATGTAAGTCAATAATCATGATAATACAAATGCTCAGGTTCTACATGCATCTTTCAGGAAAAAGTTCTATTCTTTTGTGCTCTTATTTTCATGTAGTTGTTTTCTTAACCCTTTCATTTTCTGGTGTTTGTGTGGGATTATCAGGCATGCAACATTCAGATGCTCGTAGGATGGCGAGAAGGCATATGCATAGGCACTCTGCAGCCCCTGAAGCCGAAATCCCATTGACCTCAGATCATTTACTCCCTCAGCTGCCCTCTGGGAGTCACAACCCACAGTTTAGGTCTCAGCGTTCCACGCATGAGAGTAAGAGGAGGGTTCGAGGCCCCACTCGGTGCCGCTTCATGTTGGACATGCCCGATGGTGAGCGGATCTTTGTCCCAATCAATGAGCTAGGACAGCCTGTTGGCGCTGAAGCATCTAAGCTGGCTTCCTTCTTGGGCACTGTAGCACGAAATGGTAATATGGCGCCACTTAATTTTCTGGACTGGTCAGCAATGCCGGAGACGAGCAAAGAGGATATGTGGCAGTTTGTGCAGGTACTTGAAAATAGCATTCTGTTCTATGTGATAAAAGTATAGTGTGGGAGTGTTATTATGTCCTAAGTTGAAAGAAAACAAATAATAATAATAATAATAATAATAATAATAATAATAATAATATCTTCATCATTTTTATTTTTGTTATAATTATTATATTGCTTTCCTCCTTGATTGTTTCCTTTCCTTTTTGTGCCATAGTCAAAGTTTGACCTTGACCCCTTGTGCAAAACTTGGGTCATGAAGTCCCTTGCATCAAAATGGAGGAACTGGAAAGCAAAATTGAAAGCTGATCATTATAATCCTCATTCAACTGATGAAGAGCGTCTGAAGGACTGTAATAAACGAATCCTTCCTGATCAATGGGCAGCCCTTGTAGCCCATTGGAACTCTGAAGAGGTGCAGGTATGTGCCGGCAACAGTTATGACACCTTACATTTTACTTTGATATCAATGGCTATGTCAACATTTTACTTTGATATCAATGGCTATGTCAATTTGTGTGTTACTTGATTTGATATTCTTATGAACTGAAATATGAAGCTTACTTATGCCTCTTGTAGTTACGTTGTGCTAAAAACAAGGCCAACCGTGCAAAGCAGAAGACTGCCCATGCTGCAGGATCAAAGAGCTTTGCAAGGATTCGCGAGGAGGAGGTAAGCTATAATTTTGGAACTTATATTTCTACATGGTGGCTATTTTTGACATGCAAATGTATTCCCTTGATTGCATTGTCTAATGATAGCGAGCAAAGAGGTCTGATGGAAAGGAACCAACCCGAGGAGAGCTATACATCCTGACCCGTACACGTAAGGATGGACAACCTGTAGATAAGGGAGCTGCAGAAGTAATAGTATGTTTTAACAAACTGGACTGCGATCTCATTGCTTATCTTAATCTCATTATTTGGCATATTTTTGTTTGGTCAATACTTGAAGTGTAAAATAAATACTTGGGTCGTCATTGCAGTCAAAACTCCGTGAACAAGCAACTCAGAAACAGCAGACTTCAAATGACAGCAGTGAATATGCAGATACCTACTGCCAAGTTATGGGAGAAGACAGACGTGGCGATGCACGCATGTATGGGTTGGGTCCCACCCCTACTGAGCTTTGGGGCCGAAAACCTAGTCATAGTACTTTTATGAAGATGGTTTTGGAGGCCAAAAGATCAGCTAACGAAGAGGTAAGCAAGATGTTGAATAAAATGGAGGCCATGGAACAAAAGTATGCATCCCTGGAAGACCAGATAGCTAGGATGACTTCAAATATGCAGATTCTCATTGACAAAATGGATGCTTTGGGTTCAAAACAGGTATGTATAGGTATTATTTTTCCTTTTATTCCTTTTTTATTTACTTATTTTTATTTTTATTTTAAAGAATGAATCTATAAATATTGGTCAATTAGATTGTAAGTTTTTCTTTAGCCTGATGTTGCTTGTTCATTCCTGATAGGTTCTTGATAATGCTCTTGAGGATGCACCGCAGGGTCGAGTACACTCATCCTCATCAAGTCATCCAGTTAGATTTAATTAGGTGACGTCAACATATCCTCGAATTTTGTGCACTTTAGTTCAGTAGCTCTATTAACCCTGCGGAATGCATTGGTTCACAGAAAAATTGAGTTCAAAGATTTTTGTTTCGATGACTACATCAAATCATAATGAACTATGGAGTTAAGTCTCAACTCATGTTTTCAGAACTCAATTTTTTTCTCTTCATGAACTGGAATATATTTCTCATTTTTTGATCATGAAATTGGTCTTGGTTTGGATCTAGTGAACTCAAAAATTCAGCTGGTGTTTTCCATAAACTACTTGATTGTACCTCCCTTATTTCTGCATTTGTTTCTGAAATAATACACCAAACTGGGAAGGCAAAAAAGGGCCTGTGAAAGAAGGACTCGGCATATAATGATATAAACATTCAAGTAATATATAATTCATAATATTCAAATTCTGTTATGCTTTTTCTTTTGCTCTGGCTCAGCCAATATTTTCTTTCATATATTAATGAAATTAAAAGTATCTACAGTGACTATGCATGAAGAATGCCTTTTGGGGGATAGGGAAGGGGTATGACGGTTTGAACTGGACTAGATATGGTAACTGGCAAAAGGATGTGTATGTCTCCTTTGCCCAACAAAGTACGGCTTCACCTGTTACTGAACTTCGTCGTCTAGAACTTGTCTGCAAAATGTCCTGCAAAATGCCCTTAACTTAATTACATCAGTTCTAACTTTTAGCTGTGTTCGTGTTCTGTGTGCAGGTTTAAAGAGGCATGATGCTCGACAGACTTACCTGACTTTTGTTTTGTACCATCTTTCTCTCTCTCTAAATCATGTGTTACTCACACCGCTTGTGTCTTGTTGCATTTGTTGGTAGTAATTTTTTCACTCCAAAACAAGCATTATATATTTTGTTTGGAGTGATTTCTGATCACCGAGTATTCTTCCATCTTCTCACAAGGATGAAAATTCCAGTGAGAGCCACCTCTCTATATGAAGGAACTTATGTAATTGGTGTAATTTTTATATAGTTGAGATGGTACTTTTGCCATTCTTGTTACCACCACAAGCTCACAATCGAGTTTACAACATTATACTCGTTCTGTTTTATGCACAAACGATTGTATGGATGTGATACAATAGATAGTACATAAATATGAGGGCGAAACAATCCATTTCAGGACTTGTTTTTTGAATACTGGGAAATAATTACCTTGGTGAGATTTCATTTTCTTTTTCCTTCAACCAAGGTAAATCCATTTTAAAGGGTACATCAAATTAAAGCTTGATTAAACCAATCAGGTATGATTTAGTTAGAGGAGAGAGTTTTAGTTTTTCAGCTCGAGTTATAAAAATCTATTCGGCGTTATTTTGGCCCATTAGATTACCAATAACTAAAAAACAATAAATTTAACTAATAAGCTTAATAAACTAAACCCTCACAATAAAATAGATATGATAGGACTCTCTTATTTTGGTAAATAACAAACATTAGATTCCACAAATGTTTAATTAGGTTCCCTCATTTTTTAAAAATAGACTTTCCTCATTCGCAGTTGAACTCAATCATCATTATAGAGGGAAGGAATGTATAAATAAACTATTTCAAATATTATGTCGTTTGAACAAATGCTGAGATAGCTTCCAAAACGATCAAACCAATTCTGTCGTTGGAGTAAACCACCCCTTTATAACGAGAACTGGTAACCGATTGCTAGGAAACGACGTCGCTTAGCAAATTCAAGAGTTCAATTTCCCAATTCATATGTATGCTTAAAAACCTCGTAAAAAAATAGTGAAATCCGTAAACCTCTGTTTCCCTCCTTCGAATCTTCTGTATGTAGTCGTTATTAGCCCAGCGATCTCGTTTAAATCTGAAAAAGGTATGGCGCTGTTTATCCACTATTAATTAATCCATTTTCGTTAACGAAATTCTACGGTTTTGCTTGTTATGGAAAACTGAATTGTTGTTCGTTTACTGCTTGGGGTTCCCTTTGTAACCTCTCTTCAAAAAGTTTCGTCTTTTACATTATTCAATAACTAAAGTTTGAATTTTTATGTTAATGGGTTAGTTTTTTTTTTTCTCCTTTTTGTAAATGTAAAGCAATGGCGTGCAAATTAGTCGTAATTAATTTGAATTTTCTGAAAATTTGTTGAAGTCTAGATTTTATGAGATTTTTATTATTGTTTTGTTTGGTCTTCTGTGCAGTGTAGCAAGGTGGGTAGAATATGAAGCGAAAGAGAGGGAATAAGAAAGGCAAGCAAAAACGTCCTCCTGCTATTACCACAAATGAGGCAGTTGTGGACCTAGTCAATTTGGATAGGGAAGATAATTCTGGTGCAGATGAGTTTGATGATAATACTAATGATAATGATAATAATGAAGAGTTCCAATCTGCAATGGAGGTTGATACACCTTCTTCTACTGGTACAGATCAGCCATTGAATCTTGCAAGTATAAACCCTGATGGGTCGATTGATAAGACTGCAGGGAAGTCGTTTGGGCGTGTTAAGGTTAAGCTCAAGACTTCGAAGGTGTTAGAATCGCATAGCGATACTGATAAGAGTAGCCCACAATTGGGTTTGGAGAAACAAAGTGTGGTTAGTGATAAAATAGAAGATACTGGCAACTCACTGTCTGAAGTGAAAACAAATGTTTCTGGGAATGTATCAAAGAAACCTGGGAGTATAAAGATTAAGTCGTCAAAAGTGCTGGGTGGATTGGGTGCTGAGAAAAGTGGTGGTACTGTAATGATACAGGATGAGGGTTTACAACAAAAAGAACCAAGCACGCCTCATCAGGAATCTCAATATAGTAAGCAAGAGTTAGATTCTGCATTGTTGGTATGTTGGATTTCATTTCCTTCTGTTTTTTTGACTACTTTACTGTTGACTTTGTTATTCTGAGTTTTGGTTGAAATCTGATTTCTGCTTATTAATTTTTTTTTGGGTTATAATTTTAGGTGATTAAGAAGATTATGAAAATGGATGCAGCTGAACCCTTCAATGTTCCTGTGAATCCTGAAGCTCTTGGAATACCTGTAAGTATGAGTAGCTTACTCTAAAGGGACTTCAACATTACATTTATCACCCTCTAGCATAACAAAGCTCTTGGAATTAGCTTGGCACTGGCTGCTGCTTGTCTTTGATGAGTATGGGGGACTAAGTTCATATGGGTCATAGTCTGTCATGAATGATTGCCGGTGCATTATTTTCTTCATATCTTTCTATTTAATGGCCACCTTCATGCATACACTTAGGAATCTCTTCTCCTTTCATCCTGCTGTACCATATAATTAATAGATGAAAATTGTACATCACCAACAATATGCATTTTATTTTCTTAGGATAATGGTCCTTTGCTTTGAGATGCCTCACTGCTTGATGTGTTTATTTCATTAAATGAACTGATGTCTACTCTTTTTTAATTTGGGTGGGGATTTTACACCAGGATTATTTTGACATCATTGATACGCCAATGGACTTTGGAACTATATGCAGCAATCTTGAGAAGGGTGATAAGTATATGAACTCGGAGGATGTCTACAAAGATGTTCAATACATTTGGGACAACTGTTACAAGTATAACAATAAAGGTGATTACATCTTGGACCTCATGAGGCGGGTGAAGAAGAATTTTATGAAGTATTGGACCGCAGCCAGTTTATTCACTGAACAGTCAAGAGGTTCCAGTGGTGAGAGTTTTATGTATGTTTTTTTTTTTTTTTTCTCAACCAAATCAATTTTTTATTTTTGTCATTCGGCTTTATTTGGTAAACTTGCTTTTGCTTCTTGTTTTGTTCTATGGGACAAAGAAAAGAGAGCCCAAAAAGGGGCTAATGAAGCTTGTTTATCATATTGACTCAAATAGTTGATGGAGACAAGGTTGCCAACCTTATAGATACTTGGTCTTTCCCCAAGTCTTACATAGCATCTTAGTGGAGTAAAGAATTGCATTCTCTCTACTGAATTTATTTTAGGACCTAATAAAAAAATAAAAATTATAGTTTTTCGTATTTTTATGAATATATCTAGTTATTTTACTTTTATCAATGGCGTGGAAGTTTGTGTATGATACAATTGTGTCCATTAAATTTGCATATACAATTGTTACTTGCTTGCTCACATGGATCTTAAGCATGAGTTGTATGGTCCAAACAGTGTTGAGAAAGGGCTAATGTTGATGGACTTTGTTATTTGGAACATATATACTCTCAAATTATATGTCGTTGGAGCTACAGTTCATGCTACATCAGTTCTCTTCTGCATAATTAGGTTGCATCCAAATTAACCTCTCTTTCATCCCCAAAAGCCATAAAACCAACCCTTGTTCAATGTTCAAACTTATCTCCCTCTTTCAAGGCCTTTATCAATTAGTAATTAAGGCAGTTTGTTTGTTGTTGGGTCTGTACTGTTTGCTGATGGTTGAAGCTGCTGATTCATATTCCTTTTCATGGTTTTTTTGTGTTGGATTCTTTAGGCAAATATGCACTTGTTGTTGGATAAAAGGTGCCACTTGGTTCAAGTTTTCTCAGCATAATTTTATTATGGTGGTCTGACTAGAATTGTTGTTGCCATGCCAGGTGCTGAAGGTGCTCAAGGGGAAGATAATGGAGCCTCTAGTCAAGTTCATGGTAAAACTAGTCAATATAAACAGAAGAACAAAAAACGTCATGGGTATATTCTCTGCATGTTTTTTTCTTTTTCTGTTAATGCATAGGATATATTAGAATTTTCATGCGCTGTTCTTTGAATATTTTGTGAGTTCTTCAAATTTATTGTACTTCCTAGATTCTCATTATCCAACTTTTAGATGTCATATGGGTTATATGGTGATGACATAGTAATAACAGATAAGGCCAACAGGAAACAGTGAGTAGACATTAAAATTAGCATATAATAATTGTTTTTCTCATGTCCTTTCCCCTTCCCTAATTTCACTACTGGTCCCCTGAGACTGCACTCTATTTCAGGCTTGTTCCCATGCTTGCAATTTTGATTTAGAATCTCATTGTTCCAAATATGCTTGGTGTAGTCTGCTTGCTAACCAGTTTGAAGAAAGTGGCAGGCTCCAGATTGGCCATAGGTCATCACACATTCTTTTCCTTCCCTTCACTCATCTGAGGCCATGTCTTTGATTTTACAAGATGTTATATTAACAGTTATGCGATTCTCTTCCCAAATCATGAATTTTCCTTAGTTTTAAATTTCACAATTACTTATATTTTGCAGAAGGCGCCATAAGCTTGATTGCCTATGTGCTATATGTGTTCTAAAGCGCCGTAGAAGGGAGCGCGAGGAGAATGCTCGACTTGCTAAAGGTCAAATTGGAGTTTCTGATAATAAACTTGCTCAAGAGTCAAAGCAAGAGGTGCACGTGTATTTTTTTTTACTGATAATTAGTTACATAAAACCTTTTATGAGTTGAGTGTATTTTAAGTTTGTGTTTATAGCATCCATGTTCTGTACTTCTGGCCATACCCAATTTGACATGGTCTTGGATATGCACCAAATATTTCTTATATGTTCTGAAATTTTGAATGAGATCTTTTTTTTTTTTTTTCCCTTGACCGTGTTATAAGTATCTGGTAGTTACATACTTGTATGCATCAGTTAGACGTGGAAGCTTACTGCCAATTTTTTGTTCTTAACATAGAATGAGATTGCGAGAGAAGACACTTAGGAGTTTCTGGTGTAGGTTTTAAGTATTGTCCCTATTTGGATTTTTGTCAAGGGAAAGGAACAAAAGGGCCTTTAAGTGAGAAGAATTAGATGCCTGACTATGTTTAGATATTTGGTTTCATTGGCAGCATTTTACAGGTATACAAGCGACCGTGCATTTCTTTTATTTTGTCTTGAAAAAGATTTTCCAATTGTGTTAAAGTCGGGCCCCCTCGGTTACCTTTGTAGTAATTTTCTCTATGGTAAAATTGAATTTGTACTTATTTACTCTCCCTCACCTGCTTTTCTCTCTTCCTCCTCTCTTCTTAAAGGGATCTCCTCTAACTGAGAGTCCTGGTGGTGAGGATTCATCATCAAATATGGATGAATCAGTAGATCCAGATGCAGATGCTGAAGTGGAAGGAAAGGGGCAGGACGTGAAAATGGAAGATACAGAGCAGCAGTTCAGCACCGTTAAGGACAAGCCTGATGAGGCAGAGGATGAGGATGACGATGATGATGAGGAAGAGGAGGAAGACGAGGAGGAAGAGCAGGAGGATGAGACAGAGATTCAAAAGAAAGGGAAAGTCGAAACATCAGAGAAATCTGGGTTTGCTGATAGATTGGGAGAGGAGCCTAATCAACAATCTCAGCCTGGACTATCAGATAACACAGGTTTGGTAGTCCAAATACATACTGACAAAGGACGTATGACAGGCCAGCATGAGGACAAAACTCTAGCAGTTCAGCGAAGTAAGGATAAGGTAATTAACTTTCTAAACTAATTTTCATGTTGGCACATGGAAAAAGTCTTGCTTAGAATTTTCATGGCTAAAGCAAGCTTCCTTGAATCCATTAACTGTTGTATGTTTCGGATGTATTGAGGCCAAAATGATTAGAAATGGGTAATTTTGCTTAGATCTTAAGAGTAAATGTTAAATTTGTCGGCAGACCTAAGGATACCTATTCCTGAACATTTTTGGCTGATTAGGAATAGAAAATTTAAGATATAGATGGGTATAAAGCATCACATATCTCTTGATCGAAAAAAATTTTACAGGAGGCACAAAAAAATTTCTCCTGCATATATTTCTCATGTAACCTTTCTGTTTTATTTGCTTTTATGTTTGTATAAAACTTCATGTAGCCGACCCCAGCTAGTTTGGGATTAATGCTTAGTTGTTGTTATATTTGTGTAAAATTTCATGATATGTTGTACTTTACAGGAATCACAAGAACAAAAGCAGAAGGATAAAATGTTTGAGAAGTTTCGTTCCGAAAATCCCATGCTTTTCAGTTTGTGCAAAAGTCTCTTTCCTGACAACAATAAGTCTCTCTGGAGCGGGCCTCACTCATTGGTTCGACATGAGGGTTCCGATCGTACAAGTTCTATTCATGCTGCTATTGAAACTTTGATGAAGTAGGTGCTTTAAGTAACTTCACATTGTCCAACAAAGGATCTGAGGTGACCTTATGCTCACAGAGATCTAATATATTATTACAAGGCAGCATGTCTGACATAGATCATACGTGAAAGTGAAATGCCTAGTTATAAATGATGCTTCTCAGCTGAGGATAATTAGTTTTATCTTGGAACAGGGTGGAATCATACCTCATGGCCTAAAAATTCAACCCTAATTTACGCAACTTAGGTAATCTTTCTGCGAAGTCATTGGTATTCCTTTGGTGGTTGCAGGAATTTGCAATTGTAATTTGTATACATCAATGTTAGAAGTTGTAATCACTTGATATTAAGCAAGAATTCTTTTAGGGTTGTACTGCGGCAAAAAGCAGTTTGTGCGATTGTAAATAGATTATATTCTTTTAGGGTTTTACTCATCGTTATGCAGTCCTCGAAAAGGATTTCTCAAAAATAAAATTCCGATCCCTGAAATTTCATTTATTTTTGGGGAATTTTTTGGTACTATAAATAAGGCCGCAATTGAAGAACCATGTTGTGCCGGAAACAAAATGTTCTTGATTCAAAAATGCCACTATTTCCTTGTGTCCATGTGTTTTTACTTTGAAGTAACGCATATTGTTACAGATTTGAAAATTGCAGTAAATAGATGACAATGTTTTACATGCTTTTGAAAACAAACTTGAAGAGACCTCCAGCAAGCAAAGAAGATAATGTCAACCCTACGTTACATTGTACTCAGCTCTAAAGTTGCAGTGGAAGCATCACTGCGGAACAAAAAATCCTTGATGTATCAAATGCGGAAGTTCATGAGATGTTTCTGAAGAAACCCTAATTTACTGCCAGTCACGGTAGATCATACTTTACATGTCCAAGGTAGAGACCACAAGCTGGGGCCATGGGACTTGCTTCAGTCACAGACTTAGCGTTCAGTATTCGTTCCACTGAATAGAATTAATGAAATGGAAAAATAAGTTTCAGACATGATAAGGATATCCAGAAACATATTACACATACACAGACATGCGTGTAATGAGAGATACAGACCATCTGAACTTGTTCGATTTCCAGTGCCAACAGATTTGAGAACACCAACGAGCAGTCGAACCTGGAAAGGTTGAAATGAACTTCAAGCCCGCAAATGACAGAAAGTGCTCAAACTATAACTATCCAAAGTTGAAGACATTTCTATAATATTGCCATTGGCTAAAAAAAGGTCGAAATCAACAAGACAGAGGAGACAATTTAAGAATGAACAAAACTAACCCCCACAATCTACCAAGTACCAGTGGAAATGTTAATAGAATGACAATAATCTTACAATCATAACTCCTAATATAATTTCTTATGGGGCAAAATTTTCTCATGCAACATTTTCTACTGTTACTACATCAATAGTGTATTAATGGTGTTAGATGATTTGAAAGCATATTCCAGTGGGTGCACTTCTGATGTTTCTAGATCAAGTTTAACAAAATGAAATGGCAATTCAGAGACACCAATAAAATGTTGTGAAGTTGTGAGCTATAAAAGAAACTGCTTGTAACAAAGATTACAAAAGAAGTTGGTTCAAGTTAATTTTTCCCTTTAATATTTATGGAACAGAGTTGATTTCTTCGAGACATGAGCATGCATACAAATCCAGTAAATCATGCAAATGCTCTCATCTATAGTGCATAGCACCCTCAGTGCAATCAACTGAAGCTGCAACTTCAGACAAAGAGATTTATAGAATGGCCCAGAAAAACACCTGCAAAGGTTGATGCAAACCTGGTGATAAAGAAAGGAGCGGGCACGTGCTGTTACAACATAGCAATGGTGTTTTCTCCTCATCCCAAACCCTAATTCAATCTCACCATAGGAGCCTCCTGCCATTGTAGATGGAAAATACAGTGTTGAAGCCACCTCAAGAACAGAAAGTTCATCCAAAGTTCTGATTGGTGATTTTGCCTGTCAATAAGTTATTTACAAAATTTTATATTTTTCGGAATATGCTTGCCAGCTCCCATCATAGGATTTAGGTTAACATCTCGGAAAAAAAATTGAGCAAGACATAACAGGATCCAGAACATGAGCAAAGAAGGTGGCATTCAACAAATTGTGGTATATCACAAATGCCAACCGCCATGAAATAGTAGCAGATATTTGAAAATATCCTTAAATTGTTACAAAATTTTAAGCAAGAGAACCACAGAAAGAAGACAATTAATTTTAAAAAAAGAATAAGAATGTCGAAAAGAAATTTTCTTCATCTAATTTTAAGTTCTAGAATCGCTTAGGAGTAGGAATAAGAATCAGTACTGAAGAAGCTTGATTGTACTCCTCGCAACCAAAACTAGATCATGTCTTTTCAAGCATTAAACCACAGGCAGACCAACTTGTATCTATTTGAACTTAGGTAGTGCCGAGTGCTTATGCTAATTAATTTTCTGCATACTGAAAAGCCTCTGGAATATAAAGCATCTTTGCTCAACACAAAGTAGTACTAAACCATTTCATGTGAATAAAGATATCGAAGAAGGCAAAAAGCTATCTGCAAGACAAGGAAAAACCTGGCAACCAGATGCCCTGAATGAACTGAAATCATGATGTCCAACAAGAACTTTGCATGCTTCCTGCATGAATATCAACATTATTTTTTTCAGTAGCCAAATAACTAATGACCGAGTAAAGTAAATCTACGGCAAATGTTCATAATATTTAGCTAACCTGCATAGCAACAAGATCCAGCTCCTCAGGCACATGCCACGCCCTGTCTTTCTCGAAGGTAGACAAAGGCTCCGGTCCAGAGAGAAGTCGGTAGAAATACCTAATTTTTTTTCAGTGACATAAAACATTTATCCCCTGGGGTACAAGTTATTAGTATATTAAGGAACATGATAGCACCCTTTTGGTATCTAACTGAACTCATGTTAGGGTAGTGGCATGTGATAGCAATACATATGGCATCTAATCAAAGTTCATCCTCCACAAACTTCATAATCCTAACTGGATATTGGCAGATATTCATCCTTCACAAGTCTTCACTTAAAAGCATCATCAAATCAGCTAATCTATGGATGCCTGAATACATCATGCAATTTAAAAAACAATTAAAAGTTATTAATACCTACGTGCGCTCGCAAGCTTTATATCTCGCATGGAAATCAGCTGGAACACATCGAACATCAACCACTGTAATATCACCTTCATTCTTCTAACAAACCCAAATGAAAATGTGCGAGGCTCTTTGAATGTTAGTACATCATTATTAGAACATGGTCATTAGAACATGGACAGACAACTGAATCAGATCAAGCCACAGGCTATTCATATAATTATACAGCACCCAGCATGATGGAAACTCAGTGTTATAAAAACTAAGTTTCAACAGATATAAAACAAACACAAGGTCACGTAGCTTGACAGACAAAAACAATCAGCAGCATAGAGCAGCAGCTTTTCACATTTGAAAATCACTGGGTTAAAAGGCCACTTTAAGTAACATGAAGGTTAATGTGCAAATAAACAAAAAACATTTGTAAGCAGTTCGTTGATAGTTAACAATGAAAGCACAAATGTTTTACAGTAAAGAAAGCAAGCCCTTGTTTTGAACGTGCTTAGGCAACAGAAAGGGAGCAAATTGGGTTTTGCATCATGATTAAGCCACATCATGAACTGATTCATTCCACTTGTGATTCACCCAGTAACTTAATGCTCATAAGTGAGGCCAAAGAAGCACCAAATAATTATTTTCTCATGAAATCCATAAAATAGCCATAGATGGGATCCATCTATGATGAAATTCTGTGGTTTACCACGAGATTGTCTACATATACATGTAAATTTTATTAAAAATAATTTTAAACTTACATATAACAGCCTAAACACACCTTGCATTTTTTCAACATGTGACTTGAACCATTAATCAAAAACATTACATTGGAAATTATGCTATGAAACAGCCAAAAGGTTTGAACCATGTATAGAACCGAAACGTACCCTGAATAAGGCAGAAATTGAGACATGATTTGCATAATATATATATAAATATTCATAAGATACACACACCAGTGTTAGTTCTGTTTGACTACAGTATCATTAGCAAAGTAAAACTCAGCCAAGGTAATAAAGATAAGTCTAATGCAATATATTCAAGAACTCGGTGAGAGTGAGACTATGCATAGGCCAACAGTTCATTTGAACAAAAGAAACATCAGAAGACACACCACGAACCAATTTTTTTTCCTTAAAAAAAAAAAAGAAAACACACCTGCAAGAAATGGTTCACAGCTCTTCTAACTACTGATGGTTCATGTGGCTGTAACTATATTTTCATGAAAAATCATAAAACAGAAAATAATCGTCAGCTCAAGTATTATGAAAAAAGCCCCAATGAACTCATAAGAAAAGTAAATTACATTGCCAGCTGTGCAAGTGAGCATGCATGTGCATGTATGTGTGGTAATCTTGACACTTCCCTAAAGATTTAATAAATCAAAGATTTAATAAGCAATTTAAAATATCTTGCTTTCAGTCATTGCTAAACAAACACATAAAATTTCTTACGATTAATAATAAATACCAAAAATACAAACATTGGAAGGGAGCTCTCCCCATGCCAGATCTTTACCAACACCAGATGCAAAACAATATTCAGCAGCAAGTTAATAAATTAGAAAACAAATATGCACACAACATACCACTTCACCCGGCTTCCTTTTGCTTATGCGTTCAACATCAACATGACAAACATTCGACAAGGCATGTACTCCTGCATCCTACAATAGTTGGAACTTTGCATCTATATCACAGCCCAGAAGAAAAAAAAATTGTGATAATAGGAAACAAAAAAATTGTGATAATAGAAAACCAATAGCATACGCAACATTTGTCCCACTATTGTACATTATGGCAAATAGGTATATTCTCTTAAGTGATTTAGATTATTTCTTCTACACTAAGATTTGAATTTTTGAAATTCCTCAATATGATCATCCTCTTTTACCCCTTTCAAAGTCTGAATGCTATAGTCTTATCCTAATACCACAAACGAAATATTAAAAGCAGCAAGAAATATGCTTACAGTTCGACTAGACAAGGAGATTGATACTGGCTGGCCGATAAATTTATGAAAAGCCTCCTGCATTTAACATTGCAAAAAATGATAAATTTACATAATCAACTCCTGTCACTTGCATGCTAAAATCAATCTCGTTCTACTTGAACTTTTTTTCTCATTCAAAAATGAATGCAATTCAAAAAAGATTTACTTCCTGAAGCTAGAAAATCAAATAGTAAACCATAAAACAAGTCACAGTTTTTCTTAAATCACCTCAAGGACCCCAACCACGGTTCTGCAATTCAGCTGCTTCTGGGAACCGGCGAATCGGGTACCAATATACTCAACAGCAATCAAATAGCGTTGAAGTCTAGGATTTGGACTCATTAATTGAGCAATAACACCCGATTCCTGCAATTCTTCTCCGTCTTCGTCGTCGACGGTGAGGTCTTGGGTTTTTGGAATCTTGGAAGGTCTGTCAAGAGATGCAACAGAAGTATCTAAACAGTGTTTTACGTTTTCAGTCATTTGATGCTTTGGCTGTGTGCTTTCCGGCAACCCGTTTTCGTGGCTTCCAAACAGCTTTGCGTGAGTGACTGACTGACCGCTCAGGGTTTAGGAGATACAGGCGGCAATATGGGCTGATCATCTCGAGGTCAAATATGGGCTTAGAGCCTGATTGGCATTACGTTCATTTTGTTAAAAACACCATTTTTAATTTTTCATTTTGCACTAGTGAAGTATACGTATAAAATTTATTTTTATAATAAATTCTAATGACTTTTAATCTGATCTGTTTTTACTTTCCAAAACATCGCAAATAAAATATGTTTGGAATCTTGTTTTTCAAAACACCATCTTTTCAGATATATTAAAACACGGTATAGAATCAATTTTGCTAATTTTTAATAAATATTTTAGATGTGTGTTTTTCATCCACAATTCAAATAACATAATTCATTTTGATATAAAGAAATTTAAAATATAAAATTTATTTACGAATAAATTTTATATTTAAAATAAATATAAAATTGAAATTTATTTATTTTTATTTTTTGAAATAACATGAAAACTTATAAAATTTATTAAGAAATTTCATTTTTTTGATAAAATTTAATTTAAAAATATTCAAATCGTACAATTAAATTCTTCATTTATTTCATACCAAAAAAATTATTTGCCTAAACCAAATCTATTGCTACGTTTATGAACCAAATCAACGACAGTAAAATTCTTTAAAAAAAATCTAACCTCATTCTTTTTTTTCCCTGATATGTCCAAAAATACTCTACTTTCAATTAAAAAAAAAAAATCTTACTCTCATTAATTTGATCCATGATTAAAACAATAGACCCCAGTCTAGATAAAATTTTCCCTTCATACCAAATACAAAAATTTGATTCATTCCAAACGAGGGGGTAATATGACATGTAGAGCCTTCAAAGGAGTTTTAAACTGTATGTTGGAATGTGTAACTGCATTTGGAGCAAGTTACAAACCACCGATTTATGAACATTCAAATTCAACCTTTTAAGCATGCAAAAATATTGCCCTAAACTTAGACACGTACAAAAATTTCAATCACAGTATATCAAATTCTATTTAAAAGCTGCTTATTTAAACTTAGCATACACATTATATCCATGATTTGCTGAATGAAAAAAGGATGTCAGCCTTTAAGTTAATTATATTTTAGTAGAAAATATCGTAATCTAGAGATTCAGAGCACCAAATTTCAACACAAACACATTAAATGGTAGATAGAAATTGAACTTCATCCACCACCCTCCCACTTCACTTTTGGAATCAACCAAAGCACTGAAAATAAAATATAGCTAACCTACCAAAACAATAAATACTTAAATAAAGCCTTATAAACCAGCTTAAAATGGAAAAGGAAAACAGATGATTAAAACAACACAAGAAAAGGAAAAAGAACAATGAAACAAGAGAGCTGTAACATTGAAATTGAAAGAACTAAAAAAGCACAGTAAAAAATGCTTATGGTGCAGGGACTGAATTTTCTATTGGCTTCTTTATAGAATTGTTACTCTTCGGATTGTAGCTGTGGAGAGAGAGATTTTTAGTTAGATGGATGAGAGATGAAGGATTAGTCGTTTTCTTAGTCCTCAAGTCATCTTCAAATTTCCTTTCTCCTGTTTTGATTTGCTTCTGCGCAGAAACATTTTGAAAAAACATTAGTCCAAATAATGTCTTAATTTACTCATCAGCAAATTTAAAATGGGAGCAATAATACTGTGCACCCATTCAATTCAGGATTTGCCACAGGGCGCACATACAGCACGCAAATTTCACAAAGTTCAGCTACTACTACAAAACCAATCGGAAGAATGCATACAAGAACAAGATCAACATAGGCACTTAACCATAACAAAATTTTTTGGGCAAAAACACAATTCTCCATTTGAAGACCTAAAGACAACAGATCCACCAATTTGCAGCATTCTTTGCAAATGAGATTGGGAAAACTACAACAAACTCAAGACTTGAAAATTAATTTTATTTTTTTATAATGGTGACAAGGAAAAGCAGTTGTGAAGATACATAGTCATGGTCTTGCCCAAAAAAAAAAAGACATTAAAATGACGTGCTACAAAATTGGAAAAAATATATATGAAAATGAACTTAAATGAAACTAAGAAATTTGTGAGTAAAGGAACATAGTAAAATCACAAATAAAAGTTGAGCGAGGGAGACAAAATGAGGGAGTTGGGGAACTTACTGGGAAATCATCATTGTTGTGTATTTCCATTCGCAGAGTTGCAGGCTTACTGCTCTTTTTCACATTAAGGGACTTCTCTCGAATTTCATAAAAATTAAAGTCATCCAACAACGACGATTTAGCTGAATAGCTCTTAAAAATTTTCAGCATTTCCAAACCTTGCTTAAGTTCAATCTGCAAAATATGACAAAAAAGCTTGTCAAACCAAACATGAAAATGTTGCACATGAGCAGAGGTTGCTAGTGACAAATCTCTTTTGCACTAAGGTATTTTGCATGATATATTGGATTGAAATTACCATGGAAGAAAGATCATTTTTAACAATTAAGACATGTGCATTTTTAATTCTGATTATATTTGGAATAATGCCAACATCAAACAGACAGAATTTCACAGCAGCAAAATTAGAGCACAATTGAGGTTGAACAGAGGGAATATACCTCTTGGGTATCCCTACTAAAAGTTACAGGCCTTCTATCATTATTTTCGAGAATGATATGGCGCAGCTGATTGTTAGGAATGTCTTTTACGACATGCCATTTGACTGGGAAGAAACCATTCCACTTGTCAAGTTGCCAAAAGTCCATGTCTTTATCAAAATCCACCTTCCCAACCATCTCAGCTGCCCCAACAAATTGCCCACTTCCATTAACCTGAAGTTATAATGCACAGCAGACAACAAAGGCAAAATGAGAACTTCATCAAAGCATATATTCAGAGATAACAGGAAAAGAAAATTATGGAAACATTCAACAGAAGGAAGAAGGCATGCTTTCAACTCACCGAAAAAAAGAGGAAAATTGGGCATTTTGTGCCGTTTCCACTTGATCTCTGTTCTGCATCATGGAATGCTGCATCGAGCTTCTTATTACCATTTGGTGTACTTGCCCAGACATCATATTTAATGCTCTTATGAATGTCATCTTCATTGTAAGATTTTATGACATAGAACTTAGCATTTGCATACTCAGTTTCAAAATCTGGTTGGTTATACTTGTCCCTTTGCACAGTGGTTCCCAAGTCTTCCTTGACAGAAGAATCCAAAGAAGCCAAATTGTTAGAGGCCCTAGGACCACAAGTTAGTTCAGTTGAGGACTCAAAATCACTGTTTTTCTGGACTCTGTCTCTGAATTTATTTCTATCACTTCCATTCCACATCCTTCCATTTTGTCTATAGTTCATATGACCATTATGTGCAAATGGACCTTGTTTTTGGCTAGGAAATGAAGAGAAATTTCCTACATGATGGTATCCCTTAAACAGACCAGCTGAGAAATCAGAACCTAACGGAGACACCTGTAACATAAAAAGTTTATATTAGCAAAAAACTCATAGCTGTAGGAATATTGATGACCTAATTGCATAAAAGTTCAAAGTCAATTATCTTCGGGACAACTTTAACTTCAAAGATGAACACAAATAAAAGAATCACCTAAATAAGAGTTTAAGCATATTAACAGTTATCTATAAACTTAAAAGATGAGAAATTGTTGATGATATAATATGCAAATCGAATGTAATCTTAAAGGTGTAAACGAGCTAAAATTATGTAAACCTTGTTTAAAGGTCTGATTGATTGTGCATATGCAGACTTGGATGATTTGACGCCAACATTGCCATTAGACTTCATCGAGTTGAAACCATTTTGCTTGGCGAAGGTAGAACCTGAACCATATTTTCCATTTCCAGAACCAACATTTCCATTTGAGATGTCACCAACATATGTTGAATCCCACGAATAACAAGGCACAGCTTCAGCTCCATATGAAACAGGATGCTGAACATATCCAGGGGAAGAGAAATAGGGTTGTTGACTAACATTTTGCCCGTCGACGCCAACAATTGCTCCAGTCGCATATGGATTATATCCAGGTAAATAATAAACTAGTGATCCATTGTCTGATTGCATTCCCTGAAGCGATCAAGCAATAAACAAGAATATTAGATATCCATGAGACACATCGTATAAAATGTGGTAGAATATATATCAGCTAGAAAGGATGATGCATATTTTTGCAAATAGATTTCCAAGTGAAGTTGGAAAAACATACCAGGTGAGAATTATCTGCTTGGAAATAACCATGATCATCCAATTGTGCAAAAGGGCCACTGTATCCTGCAACACAGTTAAACTTTGAGAAATAATCAAGCCATAAATATATCTAAATTATCAAATCATACTCGCAGGGAAATGCACTAGTGCAGACGATGAAGCTAAATGAAGGGACTGTAATAGTTTATAACATTTATCATATTTTTTTTAATATTTTCCAGTTAATGTAACTAAAAACATTTGAACCTCACACATAAAGTGAGAATTTCTGAAGCTATCTCAAAATCTTGCCACCATGGACCTCTTAAGAATTTTTCTCAACCAACAAAAACAACATAGATTGAAATCAAGGCCACCCAACTATGCTAAAGTGACTGAAGACATGCTAAAGTGAACAATATTTACCTCTTTGACATAAACGTACCATTAGTTTAAAAGATTATTCTGACCATTATAGCATTAAGCAAACTAAATTTTTAATTGCAAATTGATGAACTTCCAGTTCTATGCAATTCATTGAAGTGCATTAGTACATATTTTAACTTCACAGAAAAAGTATCATTTATGTCTTTTAATGAAGACTATGAGCTGCCATTGCATTGACTTTGTGACAACTCCTATCAATAGCATAAGGCTGTTGCAATATCCCACCTGGGTAGTAATAATTGTAACTACTAGTAGGTGGATTGTAAATGCTCTGCTCTCCAGCTAACTCTTGATTAGCCTCCCCTTTAATGGTAGAAGTACCATCCCCTTCACCATTGGCATTAGAAGTCGCATCCCCTAAAGAGCAAATGGGCGATGTTGAGTCAGATGGTATTCCATCTTTTCCAGAAGCCTGAAAACAAAAGTGTTCAAATGAAGATAAGATAACAAAAAGATAACCATGTTACACTGAGCATGAAGGAAGTCACATATTCTAATGCAATCCTCTATCACATTAAGCACAACTTGTTTAATGTATAAGATCTAGATAATTTGAGTAAAAACCATTGACAAGATAAAAAAATGGAGTCATTTAATGGAAAAATAATTATTTATTTAAAAAAAAAAAAAAAAAAAAAAAAAAAAAAAAAAAAAAAATTTATTTTAAAAAAAAAAAAAAAAAAAAAAAAAAAAAAAAAAAAAAAAAAAAAAAAAGCCTTTTAGTGCTTGAACTGAAGCTAATAGAACTCATTAACCAAACATCCAGAGCGTGAAAGTTGGTGCAGCTATACAAAGCTAGTAAATCAATATATATACACTGAGTTTTTTCACCTTAATAATGATTTCATCCAAGCGAGCATGTACAAGGAAGCAAACAAAATTATACATAAATATGACATACCACATCATGTGCAGCCAATTTACTAATGGGGTCTGCCTCCAATCCCGAAGGAACAGGTACAGCTGCATTACATAAGAAAATAACCCTTATCCAGGTGAATAAAGCCAATTCACGAAATAAACAGAATAAGTAAAAAGAGATCGAATTGTAATGCTATTGAAATAATTTTAAGATCATCATGAGAATGCTTGCAGGAATACAATCTCATTGAGTAGCCAACAAAGCTGATAATTGTTTTGGTCAAGATAAAAAAGAGAATAAACAGACAATCAAATTGACTAATAGTAATAATGGTCAATCGACTAAAACGAAATAAATCCACTCTATAACATAAAATAACTTGTTCCTGGATAAATCCAATATGAGCTTTTAGCAGAAAGAGGAACAGAGGAAAAGAAAAGCATAAATCACAGAATCCAAATAGTTCATCCTCATTAAATTCAATTTTTGAATCACCCATAATAAGAATTACCAATAAAAAATACCAAACATGAACATCCAAAACCCAAGATTCTGAATTTTCAGTCCCACTAAGAAAAGGGGGGAAATCAAGAAAAGAACTTGAAGAAAACACACGAAGAATGCATAAAAAGACGAAAAACTTATAAGTAGAAGCTAATTCAAAGAGTAAATCCAATAAGAGAGCATACGTTTCTCGAGCTCCGCTCCAGTGGCCATGTTCGATCAAAAAGGACCAAGTTGATGCCTATAAAGAGAAGGAGAAAGAAAAGGAACAGACCAAAAAGGGGTTAGTCAATGATAAAGCACCAGTCTTTTACATACCACACAAGCCTATCCTAATTTCCCCAACAACTACACTAATTTGAATTTTCTTCAGTAAATCTTACGCCTTAAGATATCTCTCAATAATGCTTCCTTTTATAGAATTAACAAAATAAAAAAAATCCAACAAAAAGAAAAGGTTGCATACTGTCACAAGGCGCACGTTAGCCACTTAGACGAAATTGGGAAAAAAAATGAGATTCCGATTCCTTCTTTTATTATTAATTAAATGGAAAAGCATGAGATTCTATTTTATATTATCTTTGATAGCGATTTTTTTGTCTTTTAAAATAAATAAAAAATAAAAACAAAGCAAACTTCTACACCAGAAAAATCAAAACAAGTAATTGAAAATAACAATATGAAATTGATAATTGAGTAAATAGCCAAACTTCAATACCTTGCAGGAAACAAACACTTTGTAGATTTTTTCTTAAGATGGAGTAAAAAACTGTTTGGTAGCTGAGAAATAGCTAGAAAATAAAATTTCTTGACTTCAGGTTCAATAGAAATAGAAAATCAAGTTACGAGATGGAAATTGAAAACCTATGTCACCGAATCAAACTAAATCAAACTACTCACACAGAGATAACTTTTTAAAACTGCTTCTTTAAGTTGACACAAACGCAGAAACTAAAAGTACTTCTATAATACGCGTATACAGACAGTATACGCGTATTCAGATAGCAACAGAAAGAGACAAGAAAGGAAAGAAGGAGAAATCGGAAACGGACCTAAAAGCGACGGATCGAGGCCGAGACGAAACCAAGAGAACCCGATCTGAGGTGACCGGAAAACCGCTTTTGAAAAAGTGTGTGAAACCGGATCAAAAGCGGTTTTCCAGACAGGAAAAAAAGAGGGGGGAGGCAGCGAAGGGAGAGTACACTAAGGGGGAGGCGAAAGAGAGAAAAAACAGAAAGGGAAGGACTAATTATGGAAGGATCGGATGGATGAGATTAATTTGTGCTTTTTAAGAAGGGGATATAGTGACCGTTGGATCAGTAGGGTATTAGGCAAGAGCCAATGTTTTTGGGAGTTGCACCTTCGATTATGTCCCATTATTTGTCACATGGGGAAAATCGGAAATACACTTCTATTATATCCATTTTGTTTTTCTTTTTTCTAAAAAATGTTTTGCAGGATTTTCTTATGCTCTAAAAATACAAAATTGTTAACCTTTCAAAAAAAAAAATTTATTATCAAATATATTTGTAATTTTTATATAAATAGAAAATATTAATGAGTATTTAATAATTTTTATTTGTTATCTTAAAATAATTATAAATAAAATATTAAATATAAATAAGGGTGCTATGTTATCTATATATTTGTTGTTCTAAATTTATTCACAGATTTTTGTCATTTTTTATTTTATTTGTTGTTCTAAATTTATTTACAGATTTTTATATTGGAAAGTGTTCTAAACTAAGACAGTATTCTATTTTTTATATAACATTCCAGTAAATTATTTCTCAATTAATTTATTTTTGCTGTATTTTAATTGGTCACAAATTAATATTTATTAATTAATAATTTAATAACAATGAACATTGTTTTTGAGATCTAATCATTATCCATCCATCTATAGATATTCCAATTCATTCGTTATTTATTCAAATATTTTCAAAATCATCAATAAGTTCTTTATCTGTTTCTACTCTTTTGCACGTAATTGCTTTTATTTTATTTTATTTATTGTTGCAGCTTCACAATGAAATTGTTCATGTTAATATATCACCAATAAGGTTTTCCCTATCCTTTTTATTTCTATTCTTTCTTTGAAAATGTATTAGAAGAGAATATCAAATTTATTTTATTTACTTTTTTTCACATAATTGCTTCATTTTTTTTTTTTTTTTTTTTTTTTTTTTTTTTTTTGCAGCTTTATAATGAAATGTTTCATGTTAATATCACCGATAAGGATCTCTCTATTCCTTTTTATTTTTTAGTTTCTTTGAAAATATATTATATAAGAATATCAAATTTATTTTATTTATTATTTTAAAATTGTTTGTGAATTGATCTTTGCAGGTAAGATTAATGATATTATATTTCTATTTTGATTTGACTAGGTTAAAGAATATGTTGATAGTTAATTTTAGCAGCCTTGGAAGGTAAATTTGATTTAAGAAAATTATCAAACTTGCTTTAGTAACTCTGCTCAATTGTTATTTATTTATTTATTTATTTATTTTTTTTTTTTTTTTTTTTTTTTTTTTGCTTGATCTCCTTACATGTCTGTCTTTTTTGATTAAGTTTTTTGGAGTATATGAAGATGCCAAAGACTTAATTTTTGTATTTTAGGAATTATGCATTAAGCCATTAACCTTTCTAGAATGTGGGATGCCAAATTATTGAATAATCAATTATGCCTTTGGTCCTATAATTAATTGCACTAATATAAGAGAGCTTGGAAATCACAGTTTGAGGTTTGTGTTTAGATTGATTCGAGATATAATTTTTGTAAACAAATGGGGATGGTGAAGAGATATGGTTAGGGATTACAAATAAACAAGAGAAGATTATTTTTCTCTATGCATTGAGTAGATACGATGATCTTTACATGCAATATTAAAAGTTATAATAAGTCACTTAATTTATTCAAAAATAGATTTCATTTACGAAATAAAATAATGATATTTATTTCATTTTATGATCCTTGTATCTTTAGAGGATATTTGTAGATTCCTTTTTTGTTCTTTACAGGATATCTTTACAGGATATATATATATATATATATATCACACCTTAGTTTTCAGATTCCAAAATTTTTTGCTCTTTGAGTTGTTATCGCAGCTAAGTAAATGTTTTTTTTTATGTATATCATTTTATGTTTCTTTCTAAATGTATATTTAATTTACTATTCTATTTATATTCAACTAATTATTAATAATAGAATCTTTATGATTGTTAATCATTTTAAACTGTATTAACGAATATAATATATTTTCTGTTCAACGTGATTTTAGTTTTGGCGCATAATTTATATGTAAATTTCTATAACATTCACTTATGCAAATTTTGACTATTAAATTTGAACGAGTATCATAATTTGATATACTTTAAACTTCTATAAAACGGTTAAGTGATGATATGTCGTGTTTATAGATATTGGAACTCATTTAGATTTAAAATATTACGGAGTCAAATCAATTTAATTTAAAACTTTTATACGCATGTTTAACCCTTTAGATATGTCGGATGAAAATGCAACATTGTTAATGAAAAAAATTAAAATATTCCATAATTTAATTGATGTATTTATTTATTTATCATACACCAAAAATATATCAAATCAAAGACATTATGTAAATAAGAAATTATTAACTACTTCATAAAAATATTGATTAAATAAATGGTGTTAGATTTTTGAGCTTTTATCTAAAAATAGATTTTTGAGCTTTTATCTAAAAATAATTTCCATTATTATTATTTTTAATTTTAGTATAAATTTATAAGTCAGAAGAAATAACAATAATTATTTAAATAACATATTATAAACACCGCGCGGATAACGATTAGTTGAAGTGATATATTTGAATACCATTCCAAAAATATTTTGAAATCTAAAAATGCATTCCTTCCATTTCAAATTTTCTATTTTAAATGAAATTTTAATTTGAAATTTTGGAATTTCAAAAATTCCAAAATTTCCTACATTTAAAAATTTTCAGACTCAATAGTTGCTTTATCTGTATAAATGAAGTACAAAATATCAAAATGGCAATTTAATTATCGACCAAGGAAAAAAATCTTACTTTCAAATATGGAAACATAATTTTAAATCATAGTTTAAAAAGTAATAAATTAAAAAAAAAAAATCATTTGGTCTTAATAAAAGAAAATATTATAAGTGGAAGTACCCAAATACATTTCAAATCATAGTCTAAGAATAATAATAATAATAAAATTTCAGTTTGGAATAATGGAATATACATAAAATCAAATTATACTTCTAAGTATAAATATGGTCTAATTTTTGAAAATTTTTTATTTTTGTGATTGGAAAAATTTTTACAAACAAGTGCATGAACCGATTTGGCTCGTTGGAATGCTAACTAAGAGAAAATCATTTTTAACCATGTCATCACATGTGGACAACACTCTACTTATGTGACTCTCACATGACCATTGTAATAAAAACAATAATAATACATATTTGAAATGATTAACACGATGATCACAAAATTTTTTTCATTCAGGCACTAAAATAGAAAAAATTAAAAAAAAATCTTATTATAAAATACACATCTCTAGTTCTTTGGGTTATGCTCCAAGTTTAAATACCTTGAAGAATGATCCACTCATGCTCCAACCGTTGAAATGTGTAATCTTATTATAGAGAGAATAGAATCTCACGCTTGGAAACGAGCGTACATATAAGAGACTTTAGATAAGAAATGAACTCTTACATTAGCTTGTCTTTAACTAAGGAATAAACTCTTATATTACGGCCTAAAATAGCCTTACGATCACATACAACTAAATCAAACTCAAGTAAATCATGTTTGGAAGACCTTAAAGCAAACACAACTAAACACATTACTATTATCAATCCAGCTTAACATCTAGTCCTTTCAGTTATGCTTCAATTTTAAACACATTCAAGCATGCTCCTGCAATTCAGATTTGGCTTCTCCTTTTAGATAGAGGGGCATCGTGCGCAGTGTCATAAATAGAGAGTAAATAAAACAGCAACCAGTGATGGCACAAATCACAGCTCCAAGACCCGAGTGAATTGGTAATGCTGCATATGTACCAGTTGCGAATGCCACCACCATCAGCGCCATTGCAAGAAGGGTAAGTACAGAAGCACATACGAGTAAGAAAAAAGATAACTCCTTATTTCCTTGCATTGCAAATAAAAAGTGGTGAAGCACCGCAGTAGTGGAAAACACGAGCGCTAAGGTATCGGATACAAAAAAAGTAAGTATCGCAATATCTGGGTCTTCATTCTTGTAACTATCAGGCATATTGACACCTGCTGTAAAACTCACTGTTGCTATGAGCGTTGCTACTATTAAATGGGCATCTTTTGCTTTCTTGAATTCATCGAAGCTTACACTTCTTACTACTAAAGCTCGATTTTGTTCTATCTTTATTTTATTTCGAAGACTCCTTTTGCAACCAGCTTTCTTCAATATACTTGCTACAATTGACTGCAAGAAGATGAAATGATGAATTCATAGAATTGCTTTTCAAAACTAAATTTTCGGAGACCTCATGTTATATCTATATCTATATATTTCTATTTACTACACTGTTTATTTTATATTTCTATTAAAAGTTAAAACTAGTATTTAAAAACGTGTGTTACATATATTGTTTTTCATTATAAAGTACTCATTATTTAATTTATATTTTTTATTATTTATCAAGAACAATACTCATAATTATTTTACTTCTCAATAAATTAAATACAATAATTAATAAATATACATAAAATTATAGATAAAATAATTACTCCAGTTTGATTTTCTTATGTACTATAAAATTTGAATAAAAATATTCATAAACTCAAACATTGAAAAATAATTCATAGTAATTTGCAAAATTTAATTTTATTATAGAATAAGAAAAAATTTTAATCCAAAATACAAATAAAGGTAAAAGTTTTCTTATAGAAATAATGATTTTCTATTAAAAATAAACAATAATTATTATGATAAAATAAAATTAAACCATCTTATGTTAGAGGGCACAAGTTAAAATTTGAATACATCGACAAAAGACTTGAGATTATAATATTTCATTCCTAAACAGAAAGTAAAATTCATAAGTTTGAAAGTCAATTATAATTCCTAATTAAGATCGGACAATACTTTTCTACTTAAATTTATAATTATTTTGTACAGTATTAAATATTTCTTATTTTCTTTTAATAACAGTTTTTATTTTATTATTTAGGCTATATAATTTAGATTTAAATAGAAAACTAATATAACTAATCAAATTAAATTATTTTTATCTTTTTTAACCAATAAAATTAAAATTTTAAAAAATATTTTTATTATTCCATAATCCTTAATAGAGTTATTTTTGGCAATCATAGATATAATACACATTTCATTGTAAAATGCATAAACGACATGTGGTCAGCCAAGATGTAAAGTAATCAAATGGATTTCTATTAGAAAATGAGTAAAATGAATATTATGACTCGTTTTCAAAGGTTTGTGATTCCACGTACCTGGGAAGTGCCGGCTGAGAGACTGCCCTCAGATGAATCTAGAATAATATCCACAGCTGTCAAGTTTTGCTTATTAACTGCTTTTTATCAGCAAGAGGGTGGCTCAAGAGTGGGTAACAATTACAGCCCATAGACGCGAGCAAATGAATTGGCGTGTTACCATCATTGTCTTTTTGATTTATAAGATTGCAAATTAAAGGAATTCGAAGGAGAAAACGTACTCCTGGGACGCTACGGCTCTCCACAGCAAAATGCAGAGCATTTCTGCCTCTCTCGTCAACAATTTCACAACAATCAGGACAATGAGAAATAATAGTTTTCGCAATCAAATTATGGGTTGCACCACATAAAGCTGCAATATGAAGGGGCGTCTTCTTTCCATCTTTGTCTCGAATATAAGCAGTAGATTTATCAAACTGTAGTAGCAGCTGCACTATTGGTAGGTTACATGAGTGTGAAGCATGGTGGAGAGGAGTCCAGCCTTGTTCGTCTACTTCTTTTGTTAAATTTCGGTTTCTTTCCAATATTTTTCTTGTCATTGCTGGAATCAAGAATAGATAATAAAAAACTTCATTCAAAGTTAATCTGCTAACCAAAAAGAGCCTTTTAACTTAAGCACGGTTTCTTTCCAATATTTTTCTTGTCATTGCTGGAATCAAGAATAGATAATAAAAAACTTCATTCAAAGTTAATCTGCTAACCAAAAAGAGCCTTTTAACTTAAGCACATACCTAAATTTTTGTTGATTACGGCAAGGTGCAGAGCAGTTCTGCCGAAAGGACCATCATAAGTTGGAGAAGTGCAAGTTTGTAAAATATGAGTAACAATATCATCATACCCTCTCTCTGCAGCAAGGTAAAGTGGAGTTTCTCCTACATCATTAGCTAAGTACTCAAACTCAGGATCTTCTCTTGTCAAAATTCGCACCACTCCGATATGATTATTTCTCACCGCCTCATGTAACGCCGTATCCTTTTCTACGCTTATCATTCTCACCATTTGCCTCGCTGCTTCCGCTCCAATTTCGATGTCGTTTTGTTCATCCCGTATTGTTTTTGCCCGATCTATAAGAAATTCCACTATATCTTCATGCCCTAACCTTGACGCGATGTGCAATGGAGTTTCGCCTTTAATGTTGGGTTGACAAAGTAGTGATTGGCACTTATTAAGGACTTGTACGATAAATGCAATTGATGATTCTGATTTTGGTTTGCGTGAAGAAATGAAAATATGGAGGATCGTATTTTTGCTTGGTGTAAGTAGAGAAGAAAGATCCGGCCCGGAATAATTATTGAATCCGTTGATATCACCATTAGCAGCAGCATCATGAAAACGAAGATCCATATATGAGACCATTTCTATTTGCTGGGTTTCATTTGAATCGCCGCTTGCAGAGGCCATAGCATTCTGCGAATTTGAGGAATCCATTTCTGCTACGAAAATATAAATGCGTATCTATTGTTTTGTGATGAAGATGCAGGCATTGAAATTACGCGACTTAAAAAAAGAAATGGAGGTCAATCGAGTCGTCTAGTAAGAATCAATATGAACCGAAGACGTCGTTTACATTAGTATGAATGCATAAAAAAATACCGAATGATAAAGATTTTGATGTAGATGGTCCCTCGGAGTGATGCTTGAGACCTCTCTTGGCCTAAGGTTCAAGCTTTCATTTTGTATGGCATTCTTTTTGTATTCCATTCCTTTAGTGGGGTTCTATTGCCTTGATGCTCTAAATTATTTAGTTTGGTCGAATGACGAATAAAAGAATAAAAGACTTGATTTAGTTGATTTAGAGAAAATAATATTAGAGAAAAATTGTTATCACAGTTAAAGAATAAAAGAAATTAAAGAATTAAAAAAGAAAGGCCAATGACGAATATTATTTTTTTTCATTCATATTATATTTTTCCAATTAAATTTTAATTCATATAAAGTTTATTTAGAATAGATTTATTAATAATATTTATTTAGAATAGATTTATTAATAATATATGAAATATTTTATAAATAATATCAGTCTATTATCATTTAATTTGAATTTATTGTCATAAAATTAAATTGGAAAAAAAACATTTTGTTGTTCAATGCAACAAGCCTGCAGCGTCTTTTCAAAAATTTTATTTTCGAAGATCCATTAAACGACATAAATATTTTTTTACAGTTATTTTAGTGCAGTTTATTTTCTTTTCCAGGATGGTGATACTTAGCTGTGTAAATGAGCCTAGTCGAGTTTCAATCTGCCAGGCTCAAAGCTCGATTTAAAACTCAATGAGCCTGAAAATTTAGATTCGGATTCGGCTAGATGAAAGCTCGAGCTGCATTCGAATTTGACTCGTATTTAGTTCGAGCTCAACTTCAGGTTCGAGTAATTTAAATTAATATTATATATATGCACATATAAAAGCTCAATAACGTTCGATGAGCTTTTGATTTCGACCGAAGCATTATTAGGCTTGAACTCCGCTCGATTGCTAAACGAATAGGTTTGAGCTTGAGCTTGATTCGAACTGAATTTTTTTGAACTTTTTTGAAGACAAGCTCGATTGAAGACAAGCTCGAAAAGCTCACGAGCTGGCATCAATTTTTTCGAACTATATGTAGGGATGTTCATAACGATGACTCACATACATAGCATGTAATCTTGTCTTAACATACTCATAAGCATCAATTCTGACATGAGAATTAAGAAAACTGAAAAATTAAATAAATTTGAGTAACATGTAAAGCAATCAAATAGGCTAAAACGTTTGTATACATTAAAGTATAATACAGAAAAGCATGCATGACCCCATTAATAAAGATTGCAAGCTCTCTTTTCCATCTAAAGGATATCTCTTAAAAAGAAGTGCAACCCACAAAATTATTCCTACATCTATGGTTACCAAATATCCTATCTCTAAATCTAACCCCAAAAATTATACTTTGCACATTAACAAATAGAGAAAAAAAAAAAAAAAATCAAGCCATTATAACTAAAGACGCCATTAAAATTATCTGATAAAAAAAATTTATTCAACCTCTTTTATACTAGAAGATCTTGTTTGAATTTCGCATTAGTTTTCTCTTTTTCCCCATTTTTCGACTGTTGAGAAACAATCGAAGATGATGATGAATGATAATCTGGAGAATGGCGGGGAAATTCTGATAGCATTTGAACCACTTCTCTCATTGTAGGACGCTCAATGCTATTTTCTTGGCTACATAACATTGCAATGAAAAATAAATGCATTGCTTCATCTTTAGGCACCATTGTCAGTCTTCGATCGACGACTTGCATGACCATTGTCAGTCTTCGATCGCACGACTTGCAGACAATTTTCTCTTCGATTGCTTGTCAAATCTTTCCTACTCATTGTACAATGTCTACTGCCTCTCCGAAATCACGCGACGGCCCAATGTCTACTCCTTCTCCGAAATCACCGACGGCCGACGTCCGGTGAGAAGCTCCAAAAGAACAACTCCAAAACTATACACATCACTCTTCTCATCCACCTTCAACGTGTATGCATATTCAACAAATACAATCAACAAAACAGCCAAAAAGAAAGGACAGCATTAGTGAGTGGGAAGAAGAAGAAGAAATACACTTTTACACGTAAGACCAAAATCAGCTTGAACGTAAAAATTAAAATTAAAAAAAATATATAAATTTCTTATTATTTTGGCAAAAGTTATAGTATAGAGTTGTAAATGGGAATGTGTCGGTTAGCTTTCACTAATCTCAACGTTCTGTTGCGTTAGAATCATGGTCAGACTGTAATGATGTGTCAGATTGACCCCTCAGATTGCGAGAACAATGTTTTTATGGGCCCCAACAACGAGAGGCTGTCTTGTTGTTACCAAAAATTTTCGATGTGCCAAGTTCTAGTTTGTCCATTTTGTCTGTCACCTTGAACTTGAAGTACCACGGGTGGTTTTTTCTGCTGTCACTTTAGCACAGACAGGTGAAGAAGAGAGCTTGCGAATTGGGATGTAATGTGGTCTTAAAATAGTCTCATGTTGTAGAATACAATTTTTATTTCTTTGGTGTTGGATCAAAATTTCTTAAGAATAAAAAGATCTACCCTTGAGCAAAGGGTCCGTTCGGTTCAAAATCGAACTGAAGGTTTTTTACAACAAACCGAACCGAATTGAAATTTGTATTTGAACCAAACTGAATCGGTCAGTTCAGACTATTTTGGTCGGTTTTTGCCCTTTCAGTTTTGCTTTAAGAATCGATGAATTTCTGTGTAATCGACTCGAACTGAATCTATCTTGAACACCTGACTGAACCGAAATGGGTTGGTTCGGTTTTCTGTTTGGTCGGTAGTTTTGCACACCCCTATAAAGATCTATGAGGCTATGCTAGGAAATGTGAGGACTTAACAATGTAATTAGAACGCAAAACAATAATAACCAAAATGAAATAGAAGGACAAGAAAAAGAAAAGCTGACCCTTGATTTTTAGAATGAAATGCAACAAAGTAATGTACTTACCAGGTGCTATGTAACCATAAGATCCTGCTATAGCTGACATACATTCTGATGATCCTCCATCCCTAAGGAATTTCGCCAATCCGAAATCAGCAACATGAGCTTCGAAGCTCGAATTTAACAAAATATTGTTTGATTTTACATCTCTATGAACAATCAAAGGTGAACAATCATGATGAAGGTAACATAAACCTTTAGCAGCTTCAATAGCAATTTTGTACCTCAAATTCCAAGTCAAGAATGCACCTTTTTTCCCATGTAATGCTTCTCCTAAGCTTCCATTTCTCATATATTCATAAACAAGTAAATTTGTTTCTTTGTTCGAACAAAAAGCGAGCAATCGAACAATGTTTCGATGCCTGATGTGGCCAAGTGTTTGGATTTCTGCTCTAAAACCATGGTCATGACTATTAGTACCAAACCCAAGTAGTTTTTTTACTGCAATCTCAATCCCATTTGGCATTTTTCCATGATACACAATTCCAGCTCCTCCTCTACCAATAACATTACCATCTTTAACACATTCCAGGATATCTTCAACTGAGAATTCGAGTTTTTGAAAAGCTGTCAATTTCCAAGAATCTGAATTGCTTTTCTTGAAAGACTTGGCCTTTATTATTGCAGCAGTTGCAAATATCAAAGAACATATTAAAAGGCCTAATGCACATATTAACTTGAAGTCATTAGGTGCCTTTTTTGGTGTATTTGCAATGGAAGTGAAATTACAAGGATTATTGAGAAGAGAACCACAGAGTTGAGGATTACCGGCGAAAGATGAGGCATCAAAGACTGAGAATTGGCCAGATTCAGGTAGTTTACCAGAAAAATCATTGAAAGAGAAATCTGCAATTGTTAAGCTTTTCATTGAACCGATGGATTTTGGAATGATTTGGTTTAAGTGATTTCTTGATAAGTTCAAGTAGTTTAAGATATGTATATTTGTTATTTCTAGTGGAATCGAATCAGAAAGACTGTTTTGACTAATGTCAAGGAAAGTGAGATGGAAACAGTTTCCTATTTCAGGTGGAATTGACCCAGAAAATGAATTCCTACTAAGATCAAGTTTTAGTACTTGATGAAGTTCTCCTATAGAAGGTGGAATTGGACCTGAGAATTGATTTCCACCAAGGAGAAGAATTTGGAGGGAAGAGAAATTTGAAATGGCAAATGGTAGAGAACCTGAAAGAAGATTGTTTGACAGATTGAGTTGGCCTAATTTAACAGGTTTCGATGAGGAATTAACATTCTCTGATAAACTACCTGACAGGACATTGTTTTGCAACTCTGCTAAATTGAGCTGAGGCAAGTAAAGGAATAAATGGTAGAGAACCTGAAAGAAGATTGTTTGACAGATTGAGTTGGCCTAATTTAACAGGTTTCGATGAGGAATTAACATTCTCTGATAAACTACCTGACAGGACATTGTTTCGCAACTCTGCTAAATTGAGGTGAGGCAAGTAAAGGAATCCATTTGGAATGCTACCATTCAAGTAGTTCTGCCCTAGTCTTACTCTAGTAAGACTATAACATTTTCCTAACCCTTCAGGAATCAGACCGAAAAGGAAATTCTTGAAACTGCCCTAGTCTTACTCTAGTAAGACTATAACATTTTCCTAACCCTTCAGGAATCAGACCGAAAAGGAAATTCTTGAAAAGAATTAGAACCTTTAACTGATTAGAGGAACATAAGTCTTGTGGGATTGTACCTGTAAGCTTATTTGAAGACAAATCAACAAGTTGAAGCTTACCATTTTGGCCATGTTTTTAGGTTTTTTCATTTATTTTGCTGTATTTTAATTGGTCACAAATTAATATTTATTAATTAATAATTTAATAACAATGAACATTGTTTTTGAGATCTAATCATTATCCATCCATCTATAGATATTCCAATTCATTCGTTATTTATTCAAATATTTTCAAAATCATCAATAAGTTCTTTATCTCTTTCTACTCTTTTGCACGTAATTGCTTTTATTTCTATTTTATTTATTGTTGCAGCTTTACAATGAAACTGTTCATGTTAAAATATCACCAATAAGGTTTTCCCTATCCTTTCTATTTCTATTTTCTTTCTTTGAAAATGTATTAGAAGAGAATATCAAATTTATTTTATTTACTTTTTTTCACATAATTGCTTCTATTTTTATTTTTGCAGCTTTATAATGAAATGGATCATGTTAATATCACCAATAAGGATCTCTCTATTCCTTTTTATTTTTTAGTTTCTTTGAAAATATATTATATAAGAATTTCAAATTTATTTTATTTATTAATTTAAAATTGTTTGTGAATTGATATTTGCAGGTAAGATTAATGATATGTTGATAGTTAATTTAGCAGCCTTGGAAGATAAATTTAATTTAAGAAAATTATCTTTACAGGATATTTGTAGATTCCTTTTTTGTTCTTTACAGGATATCTTTACAGGATATATATATATATATATACATATACTTATATATATAATTATATAATACAACCTTAGTTTTTTCAGAGTTCCAAAATTTTTTGCTCTACACCTTAGTTTTCAGATTCCAAAATTTTTTGCTCTTTGAGTTGTTATCGCAGCTAAGTAAATGTTTTTTTTATGTATATCATCTTATGTTTCTTTCTAAATGTATAGTTAATTTACTCTTCTATTTATATTCAACTAATTATTAATAATAGAATCTTTATGATTGTTAATAATTTTAATGAATATAATATATTTTCTGTTCAACTTGATTTTAGTTTTGGTGTATAGTTTATATGTAAATTTCTATAATGTTCACTTATGCAAATGTTGACTATTAAATTTGAATGAGTATCATAATTTGATATATTTGAAGCTTCTATAAAACTGTTAAGTGATGATATGTCGTGTTTATAGACATTGGAACTCATTTAGATTTAAAATGTTATGGAGTCAAATCAATTTAATTTAAAACTTTTGTATGCATGTTTAATCCTTTAGATACGTTGGATGAAAATGGAACATTGTTAAAGAAAAAATTAAAATATTCAATAATTTAATTGATGTATTTATTTATTTATCATACACCAAAAATATATCAAATCAAAGACATTATGTAAATAAGAAATTATTAACTACTTCATAAAAATATTGATTAAATAAATGGTGTTAGATTTTTGAGCTTTTATCTAAAAATAATTTCCATTATTATTATTTTTAATTTTAGTATAAATTTATAAGTCAGAAGAAATACTCACTCCAATCCCACATAAAAATATTCACCTCCAACACGATCTAAAATAAAATGGTGTTCAGATTTTTGAGCTTTTATTAAAAATAATTTCCATTATTATTATTTTTTAATTTTAGTATACAATTTATAGATCAGAAGAAAATAATAATTAATTATATTAAAATATGCATATGTTAGTGCAAATAAGCCCTAAGATTATTTATTTTTCAAAACTTTGCGCAGATTTTTATTCAAATCAAATCTAAATTATTTTGATAGTCATCGGGTCGGTAATGGCATCTGAGGCAATTCTAATCATTGAGCCCCAAGAAGTTTTAACGACGTTGGGCTTCCCAAGCCCTAAATAAAAACTGGGTGGAGAAAACTTTTGATCGTCAAACACGATAAAATTTTATTTTGAGAAACTAATATCAACGAAATCCCGAAATTTACACCTATTATGAATAATTAAAATTTAACTCCTGATCCCTAAAAATCAAATACTTAGGATTATATTGTTATATTATTTCCGAGTCAACTTTGAGGAAATGTTTCTAGAACCCTAGAACCAAAAACAGATTAAAATACAAAATAAATCAGACCAGAAAACACCCAATTACAATCATCTTTTGAAAATTCGAGCTCAAATTTATTGAATTGCGGCACCACAACCAGTTTTTGTTTCGAAATCGAACCGGAAATTGGCCCAAGAAGTCTCTGGACCGACACCTTCTCTTTTCTTTCTTTTCTTATTCTTCTTTATGCTCCCTTCTTAACTTCTTTTACTGGGCCGAGACCTCGCTGCCTCTCCCCACAATCTCCGGCTTCCGCCACGTCAAATCCGGCGAGCCTTCCGCATACCACAACGTAGAGTACGTTGAAGACGGAATGATATCTGCGAGGTTTGCATCTCGTGGAGCATCCGCGCGGCCCCAGAATGAGGGAAGACACTGCGACTGGAACACGGCGGTCCGGACGCCCCTTGTGCGTCATCCGCCCGATGGAGCTTTACCTCCGCCGACTGTTTCGCGTTTCCGGTGGCTCAGTCCAGCTAGAGGATCCGTCGATCAGCCCTCCTCTTAGGTCTGGCGAGTGTTCTCCCCATATCTTATGATCTCGACGATGGGGCTCCCGGTGGGTGAAACCTACCATTGATACGGACCGTCACTCAACTTCACAGTCGATGAACGAGGTTTAGGCCAAATCGAGCATAGGATCAACAATCGGCAGGCACGGATTACGAAATTCTGATAGGAATTTTGAGGCTTAGGGGCTGGCATGAATGGTGAAAAAACTCCTGGGAAGAATCGGTTTCCGCCACCGACGAGTCAGGCGTGCTGCCGGCGGCGGTATTTTCTCCGGTGACCGGCCGGCGACACTCCGGCGAGACCCTGAGAGGCAGAATTCTCTTCTCTTCGTGCTGATCGTGGAATCTTCGCCCAAATTTCAAATGGTACGCTCTAAGGCTCCGTTCCTAATTCTTCGTGTAAATTCCAAATTTATAATATTATGCTGTGAATTAGTTGTGTAAATTCCAAATTTATAATATTATGCTATGAATTAGTTGAAGCATTTTTAGGAGAATGTGAACCTAGAATATAATTATTAGAGTTGTGATAATATTAGATTATGAGTGTGTAATTAAAATCACTATTTGCCTTAGTAAAATACAATTAATTTTGAAACTTAGAAGTTAAGTCCTTTAAGATAATAGTTGGTAATCAAACGTGAAACATAAATTGGAAATAGTTAATTAGATATTTAGATAGCCATTAGCCTAAAACTAGTTGATTATGCATAAGAAAAAAAAAAAAAGAAGTAAAATGAATGCTTAGTCGGTTAAGAGCGGTTAGTTATGTAATTCTACTAAGCTTATGATTTAATAAATATTCTTATATAGTTTGTGAATATGTATTATATCTAGATGATTTAAATATTCTTATATAGTTTGGAAATATGCATAATTTTGGTATCGAAAAATTCCGAATTTAGTTGATGATTATTGAATACATAAGCTATAGTTTTATATGATTGTTAAGGGTCTATATTAGATAGTTTAACTAGTAACTTGTGGAGGTTAAGCAAAAAGCTATTTTTCATTTATTTGCTTATTTATTTTCATTTATTGGCTTATTTATTATTTACTTGCTTATTTATTCATTTACTTAATGTTATATAGTAAGTTACAGTTTGACATTTACAATTAAATATTGATGTGATTATTTTGGATGGAGGAAGAGAAATAAATTTGTTTAATTGCCCGATGGATGGGCAGTGTGTGTTGATTGAATGATACTTAGTGTTGCTAGGATATTTAAACAGGTTGGTAGTCCCATTTTTAGGGGAGGTGCTGCCGAAATTTCGGTAGAACTTAGAATAATTTTAATTGATAACATAACAAATAAGTTTATTTAGATAATTTTTACAATTCGATATATAATAAATAAAGTGCTTTATCTACCATATCCTTATCATTGTCTATTATTATTATTATTATTATTATTATTATTTTATCGTTGTTGTTATTGTTAAGTTATTGTTAAGATTATAAGATTATTTATTTAATTATTTAATTGCATTTGAGAAGGGATGTTTAATTGTGCATTGCATTACAATGTTCAGCTGATCCATATGTCTGCATCTAAATGAAATGCTTGATTAATTGTGTTGTGTTATTGCTATGCTTTGTTTGTGTGGAACTGGGATGAAGTGGGTCACCATGGGTTTGTGAGACTGTTTCTGTTATACGGATCCTGATTCTGATTTCTGTTATATTTGGTATATGTGATATGGATCCTGAATATGATATGAAATTTGGCCGGGTAAATGGGAGATCGGCGCCCCCGTGTGCACCTACTGCTATGATTTGTGTGATATGGAAAACCACAGGTTGGTTTCTTTATTGGGCGCACCTGATAATCTAGATTGATCGCAGCCCGCAGGGTGGCTTCCTGTTGTGAGCGCCTGATGATCTAGATTTGATGGAGACGACCGGGTTACCTCCTGTTGGTAGGGAAAAGAAAAGAGAGAATGGAAAAACAATGAGAGGGCTGGTCAAGTGAAGATTAGACCGGTCGGCCAGTACTGGGGATCGGCTCCCTGGTGCACACGTGAGAGGATGAGCCATGTGGGAGGACGGCTCATCAGGGGTTCGGTGACTCCACTGACTAATTTCCACGTCGGATGTCGATATATGAGATTGTTATAATTGTGAGTGCCTTTGGTGATTCTATTTGGTGTGGACTGGTGGTGGCATATACACTAGATTCGGATGATAAATGAGATATATTATGACATTTTTTATACATTTGTGTGAATGTGTGTGTTGTGCAATAATTATTATTCATTAATAAACTTACATCTCTTTTTGTTTAAATCTTTCAGGAAGTAGCTCTTTCACTGTTAGAAAAGAGTTCTCTAAGTTTAGTATTGGTCTATTAAATAGATAAACGTCCGAAGGCTTATCTGTATTCATTTGTTAGAGAACTCCGCAGTTATAGGATTTGTATATTTTTATTCGTATATTATTATAGATACAATTATTTTGTGAGCCTAAATTATAATTATAGTGTATTATAAGCAGGGAAATTTGTAAATGTTTAACTAATGAATGTTTTTAAACTTTGGGCCGGGCTGTAATAGTATCTTGAGTTCTATTTTTCACTATCAACTATTGGGACCTGAAACGTTGAAAATATATTATTGAGATAGCTAATTTTTCAGTGTTTTAGGCTTACTACGGGCCATTTGGGGGCCTTTTAAAGCTACTTGGCCCTTGGCGCTAGGTGCCGGATCCGGCCCTGGAAATGGGGTCAACTAGGTCGTGACAATTAATACCAAATTGCGTGTAGCGGGCGAAATTTTTAGTGTTTTAGGCTTACTACGGGCCTTGGGGGCCTTAAGCTTACTTGGGCCCTAGTGCCGGTCCGGCCCATGGAATTGGGTCGTGACAATTATAAATACCATGCGTGTAGCGCGGATTACGATTAGTTGAAGTGATATATTTGAATACCATTCCAAAAATATTTTGAAATCTAAAAATGCATTCCTTCCATTTCAAATTTTCTATTTTAAATGAAGAGAAAATTATTCTGTTGCATTTATTTAAATTTTAATGTGAAATTTTGGAATTTCAAAAATTCCAAAAATTCCTACATTTAAAAATTTTCAAATTCAATAGTTGCTTTATTTGTATAAATTAAGTATAAAATATCAAAATGGCAATTTAATTATTGACAAAGGAAAAAAAAAATCTTACATTCAATATGGAAACATAATTTTAAATCATAGTTTAAAAAGTAATAAATTAAAAAAAAATAATCATTTGGTCTTAATAAAAGAAAATATTATAAGTGGAAGTACCCTTATACATTTCAAATTATAGTCTAAGAATAATAATAATAAAATTTCAGTTTGGAATAATGGAATATACATAAAATCAAATTATACTTCTAATTATAAATATGGTCTAATTTTTGAAAATTTTTTATTTTTGTGATTGGAAAAATTTTTACAAACAAGTGCATGAACCGATTTGGCTAGCTGGAATGCTAACTAAGAGAAAATGGAATCCACTTTTAACCATGTCATCACATGTGGACAACACTCTACTTATGTGACTCTCACATGACCTTTGTAATAAAAACAATAATAATACACATTTGAAATGGTTTACACATTTCATCACAAAATTTTTTTCATAGAATACACATCTCTACTTCTTTCAGTTATGCTCCCAGTTTAAATACCTAGTTTAAATACCTTTAAGCATGATTCTGCTCCTGCTCCAACAATTGAAATGTATAATCTTATTATAAAATACAGATCTCTATCTTTTGTTTAAGGAAAGTACTTCATGCATTAACTTGAAACATAAAAAGATAACCAAAATTTGAAAATAGAATCCCACGCTTAAAAACGAGCCTACACGTAGGAGGCTTTAGATAAGAAATGAACTCTTATATTAGCTTGTCTTTAGCTAAGGGATGAACTCTTGTATTAGCTTGTCTCTGGGGTCAACTAATATTAGATGTATGGCCTAAAATGGCTTACGATCACATACAACTAAATCAAATTCAAGTAAATCATCTTTGGAAGACCTGAAAGCAAACACAACTAAACACATTACTATTATCAATCCAGCTTAACATCTATTCCTTTCAGTTATGCTTCAATTTTAAACACATTCAAGCATGCTCCTGCAATTCAGATTTGGCTTCTCTTTTTTGAAAGAGGGGCATCGCAGTCCATATCATGAATACAAAGTAAATAAGACAGAACTCAGTGATGACAGCAATCGCAGTTCGAAGACCCGAGTTATTTGGCAAGGCTGCACATATACCAGTTCTGAATGCCAGCACCATCAGCCCCATTGCAACAAGGGTAAGTCTAGAAGCCCATACAAGTAAGAAAAAAGATGACTCCTTATTTCCTTGCATTGCAAATAAAAAGTGGTTAAGCACCGCAGTAGTGGAAAACACGAGCGCTAAGGTATCAGATACAAGAAACACTTCAAAATGTGTTTTTCTTGTCAGTATCGCAATCCCTTGGTCAGTGCCTTTATCACTATTGTAACCACCAGGCATAGTGAAACCTGCTGTAAAACTCACTGTTGCTATGAGCGTTGCTGCTATTAACTGGGCATCTTTTGCTTTCGTGAATTCATCGAAGCTTACACCTCTTACTACGAAAACTCGATTTCGTTCTATCTTTATTTTATTTCGAAGACTCCTTTTGCAACCAGCTCTCTTCAATTTACTTTCTACAATTGACTGCAACAAGATGAAATGATGAATTCATAAAATTGCTTTTCAAAACTAAAATTTCGGAGACCTCATGTTATATCTATATCTATATATTTCTATTAACTACATTGTTTATTTTATATTTCTATTACAAATTAAAACTATTATTTAAAAACGTGTGTTACATATATTGTTTTTCATTAAAAAGTACTCATTATTTAACTTATATTTTTTATTATTTATCCAGAATAATACTCATAATTATTTTACTTCTCAATAAATTAAATACAATAATTAATAAATATAAATAAAATTATAGATAAAATAATTACTACAATTTGATTTTCTTATGTGCTATAAAATTTGACTAAAAATATTCATAAACTCAAACATTGAAAAATAATTCATAGTAATTTGCAAAATTTAATTTTATTATAGAATAAGAAAAAAATTTAATCCAAAATACAAATAAAGGTAGAAATAATGATTTTCTATTAAAAATAAACAATAATAATTATGATAAAATAAAATTAAACCATCTTATGTTAGAGGTATGAAGGAATTGAAGTAATCAATTATAAAGTCTAAGAGTACAACTTATATAGATACAGAGTCCTAAACTAAGTATAAGAGTACAACTTATATAGATACAGAGTCCTAAACTAAGTATACAGAAGTGATAAAAATAGACCTAAACAGAAAGATAACAACAGATACAATTATTAGAAAACAGTTACAAGGAAGACTTATCTCCTTTATCCTCTATACGCCCCCGCAAGATGGAGGTTCCATCGGAAACTCCAATCCTGGATCGAAAATGTAAGAATGGGTGTTTGCAGAGTGCTTTTGTTAACATATCAGCAATTTGACTTTTCGAGCTGATATGCAAAACTTGTAGAAGACCAGTTGTAACTCTCTCACGAACAAAATGGTAATCCAATGCCAAATGTTTCATTCTTGTATGATAGATTGGATTAGCACAGAAGTAAGTTGCTCCAGTATTGTCACAAAGAATAGTTGGTGTGCCTTTTAGCTTTTGTCCTAACTCTGTCATTAAATTCTGCACCCAAACAACTTCAGCAGCCGCATTGGCTAAGGCCTTGTATTCTGCCTCTGTCGACGAACGGGATACTGCACGACGGACATATGCCGTTTTTTGCTGGCGCTAGTCCGGGGACCGCCTAAGAAATAACATTTGGGCGAGCACAAGCATAAAAAACATAAGCTGTGGTTTCGATCCGACTTTGATCTACGTATGTCCACCCCAATCAGAAGTCAGAGAACGAGGCCTTACAAGTGTGTGAGTAGTCGAATTGCGGATTAAGAGTCAGACCAATGGTAAATTGTATTGCCTTCAAATTACCGCAATACATGGTTTTCAAACCGTCGAGATGGTACATGGTGGTCCAGGCTTTATGCATTAAATTGGGATAGATTTGTCTTTTGGACAGCGAAGGAGAAGATGTACATGGGTCGGCTTATGCATAAATTGGGATAATTTGTTGACAGCGAAGGAAACATCCGGGCGCGTCATAGCCAAATATTGCAGCGATCCAACCATTTGCCGGTAAAGTGTCGCATCGGCAAAAGAAGAACCATCGTTGAGAACAAATTTTTCTAAAACAGACATGGGAGTGATGGCATCTTTAGCACCAGCCATATCAAATTTGTGAAGCAGATCTGCAATATATCGATGCTGGGATAAAAATAACCCAGTGGCAGTAGGTATGACCTCTATGCCCAAAAAGTGATGCAACATGCCCAAGTCTTTAATGGAGAAACGAGCCGCTAGCTTCGCAACACAAATATCCAGAAATTTGTTGTTATTCCCTGTAAGCACAATATCGTCAACATAAATCAAAAAGTATGCTGTAACTCCATTTGTGGCAAAGATAAATAAAGAGGCATCAGCGCGAGACCTCTTGAAACCCAATTGCATAAGAAAGGTAGTCAATTCAATGTACCAAGCTCTTGGCGCTTGCTTTAAGCCATAGAGAGACTTCTGTAATTTGCAGACATAATTTGGAAACTGTGAATTAACATAACTCGAAGGCTGCACCATATACACATCTTCATGAAGAGTACCATGCAAAAATGCATTATTCACGTCCAGCTGTCGCAAAGACCAGCCATTAGAGACAGCAATGCTCAACACTACCCGTATTGTGACTGGCTTAGTTACTAGATTACTGGATAGAATGTTCAAATTAATCCCGGCCAGGTTGCCCTGCAAAATCTATTAAGCCACTAATCCGGGCCTTTAGTAATTATCAATCGATACATCCGGTTTCGTTCTAGATACGGAACCCACTTACACCCAATGCCGGAAACCTGCAAGCTGTCCTTGGAACCAACTCCAAGATTCCATATCTTCAAGAGAGATATATTTTTCTAATCCAATTGCAGCCCCGCCAATTTTATCTTCAAAAGCTTGCCTGAAAACCGTGCGAGGCTCAAAGCAGAATAGGAGTGGATACCTTGTTGAACATTAACAAAAGATGAAACTTTACAAATACTCGCGGTTCTGTTTGCGGCACTGTTGAGTTTCTCGGTATTGCAAGCTGTAATAGTCCTCTGGAGTCCGGTCATCACTGTTAAAGCGATAGCACAATCAGTCCTGCAGGGAGGTGGAGTAACAGGTAACAGGACCACCAGCTTCGTATGAGTCGGAGCAGCTGTCTACTTGCTCTGTAGCTAGCAATTGGAGAGTCACTTAGATACTTGAATCACAAGGGAGACAATGATATGCTGAGACCAAAACTTGAAAGCAGTGTAGCTTCACGACTAACCTGTTCCGAAACTGGAGTCCACAGCCGGTGTGGCGAAACAAGCATGAGGCAGAAGCATATATACCGGAGCGTTGGGTCAACAATTAGGCTGAATGTTGCAACAACAGCACCTGCCCAACAAGAAGCACCTCCAACTAGAAATGGAAATTTTGATGAGATTTATTGTTATCCTATGAAATGGAAGACATGCTCAACAAACTTATACATGACGAAAAGATACAATTTCTTAGTCGACATATCAGACATTGTAGCAGACTGTAGAAGAGTTAAACCAAGAAGACACATGGAACAGAACGTGGACTGGAGTTTTAGATTGTTTGTGTATGGACGTAACCACGTGATAACACAAGCAACCAAAGCGGTTTGGATAACACAAGCAACCAAAAGGTTTGAACTTCCCAAAACTGTGAGAATGACCAAAAAGCTTGAAAAACGGTGTTTGAAACGAAATAACAGACGATGGCATCCGATTTATTAGATATACCGCAACCTGAAACGCATAAGTCCAATAGGTATTAGGCAAAGAAGCATAATTAAGTAAGGATAAACCGGTCTCAACAATATGTCTATGTCGCCTTTCAGCAGTACCATTATGTTCAGGCGTGTGAGGTGGTGAAGTATAATGAGAAATACCAGAAGCTGCAAAATGCGATTTTAATTTGACATATTCCCCACCATTATCAGAAAAAACAGAAACAATTTTGGTATTGAAATAATTCTCAACTAGACGCTGAAAGTTAAGAAATAAATGAGAAGTATCAGACTTTCTTTTCATCGGATATAACCAAACATATTTAGAAAAATGGTCAATAAAGATAACATAGTATTGATACCCATCAATTGACATTTTTGTTGGTCCCCAAACATCACTATAAACAAGTTGGAATGGTTTTGAAATTAAATTCTGCACCCAAACAACTTCAGCAGCCGCATTGGCTAAGGCCTTGTATTCTGCCTCTGTCGACGAACGGGATACCGATTTCTGGCGTGCAGACCTCCAAGAAATAACATTGGAGCCAAGATATAAAACATAAGCTGTGGTTGATCGACATTGATCTAGTTGTCCACCCCAATCAGAGTCAGAGAAGGCCTTTAAAGTGAAGTCAGAATTGCGATTAAGAGTCAGACCATGATAAATTGTGCCCTTCAAATACCGCAATACATGTTTCAAACCTTGAAGATGTACATAATGTTCTCTCCTCGTAGAAGCGGCGCCCCCGTGGACAGATCCTTCACAAGAAAATAAGTTGCAAAAAATTCAACAGAAACATTGTTAGTTCGACACAATTTAGCAATAGAAACCAAATTCCTTTTCAAATTAGGCACACATAATATATCTGGAAGAGATAAAATTATGCTCGCAGTATTAATACTTGTAAAACCAGTGTGAGAAATAGAGTGACTGTTACCATCTCCCAGAAAAACTTCATCCGGACCACCGTAATCAGAATACCCTTGAAGAGAGGAGGGACTCAATGCTACATGATGGGATGCTGTTGTATCAAACAGCCACGGTTGAGAATTCATTGCCGTTGTAGTGTTAACAGCAGGTACAGTGGACACACCAACATTACTGTGCTGAACTGAAATATTATTCTCTTTTAGAAAACGAGCCAGCTTTCGACATTCAGCAGTACTATGTCCTGCAATTTCACAAAATTGACAAACAACACCGTGCCGATAGCTGCCTCTAGTCTGATTTGAATTCTGATGATAACCTCCACGATTATTATAACCTCCATGATTGCGCCTGTAATTAGAATTAAACCCCTGATTCTGTCGTGAAAAGTATCCATGATTCACGTTGTTCCCATCAGAACCAGCATTTTGCGACTTAGTAGTGGACTTCTGAGTGACATGAACTGTTGCAATATTAGAGCTAGCATCCTCTTTCCGTTTCAGTGATCGCTCAAAATCAGTTAGTTTTTCAAACAAATCAGAAAACGAAATTGAAGTTTCACGCACTTTAAGAGCAGCAACAATTGGGGCAAATTCATCTCCCAATTGAGCAATGATGTGCACAATCAAATCTTCATCACTACAATCAAATCTTCATCACTAATAGGGTTTTGAGTAAGAGCCAATTCATCAGCCATGGCTCGCATTTCATTCAGAAAAACAGATACCTGTTTGGTGCCTTTGGAGTTTGAAGGAGTTTTTGAAGCCAAATCTGGGTCTTCAGAGAAAGAATCCTCCGAATCGTGAGGTATTTGCAATAACTTTGGGAATGTCGATCCAGACATCTTCTTATTCGCCGTGATTCTGCCGACGATATTAGTGGCCTGAAATTGATTCAGTGCAGCTGCCGCAAAAGAGCGCTTAAGAGTGTGATCTTTGCCGGATACCAAGATAGTCATAGATCTGGGTTTGGTTTATTCATAGAATCGCCGCTGACGCGCTGGAGTAGAGCCCATCAATATACACGCAGTAAAACCCTATTAGCGCGATTAAGGTGGAATTGAACTTGCTTCGCCGCCAAGACTGGAACATTTAACCCTGATTTAGTTTGAATTGGAAAATGCGGTAGGAGCATTGAAGCTGAATAACAGGAGAGAAAAGAGAAGACCAAATATGTAAAGGAAAATTTGGATCGTTGTGCCTCGTTAGCAGATTATTAAGGCCTCTGATACCATATGAAAGAAATTGAAAATATAAGTTATAAAGTCTAAGATACAACTTATATAGATACAGAGTCCTAAAACCTAGTAATACAGCAGATGATAAACATCAGAACCAAGAGTACAACTTATATAGATACAGAGTCCTAAACTAAGTATACAGAAGTGATAAACATAGACCTAAACAGAAAGATAACAACAGATACAATTATTAGAAAACAGTTACAAGGAAGACTTATCTCCTTTATCCTCTATAAGAGGGCACAAGTTAAAAATTGAATACATCAATAAAAAACTTGAGATTATAATATTTTATTCGTAAAGATAAAGTAAAATTCATAAGTTTGAAAGTCAATTATAATTCCTAATTAAGATCGGACAATACTTTTCTACTTAAATTTATAATTATTTTGTACATTATTAGATATTTCTTATTTTCTTTTAATTATAGTTTATTTTATTATTTAGGCAATATCATTTAGATTTAAATAGAAAACTAATATAATTGATCAAATTAAATTATTTTTATCTTTTTCAACCAATAAAATTAAAATTTTTGAAAACATTTTTATTATTCCATAATCTTTAATAGAGTTATTTTTCGCAATCATAGATATAATACACATTTCATGGTAAAATGCATAAACAACATGTGGTCAGTCATGATGTAAAGTAATCAAATGGATTTCTATTAGAAAATGAGTATTATGGATATTATGACTCGTTTTCAAAGGTTTGTGATTCCACGTACCTGGGAACTGCCGGCTGAGAGATTGCCCTCAGATGAATCTAGAATAATATCCACAGCTGTCAAGTTTTGCTTATTAACTGCTATTTTATCAGCAAGAGGGTGGCTCAAGAGTGGATCACAATAAAAGCCCATAGACGCGAGCAAATGAATTGGCGTATTACCATCATTGTCTTTTTGATTTATAAGATTGCAAATTAAAGGAATTTGAAGGAGAAAACATATTCCTGATTCGCTACGGCTCTCCACAGCAAAATGCAGAGCATTTCTGCCTCTCTCGTCAACAATTTCACAACAATCAGGACAATGAGAAATAATAGTTTGCGCAATCGATTTATGGGTTTTACCCCATAAAGCTGCAATATGAAGGGGCGTCTTCTTTCCATCTTTATCTCGAATATAAGCAGTAGATTTATCAAACTGTAGTAGCAGCTGCACTATTGGCAGGTTACCTGAGTGTGAAGCATGGTGCAGAGGAGTCCAGCCTTGTTCGTCTACTTCTCTTGTTAAATTTTGGTTTCTTTCCAATATTTTTCTTGTCATTGCTGGAATCAAGAATAGATAATAAAAAACTTCATTCAAAGTTAATCTGCTAACCAAAAAGAGCCTTTTAACTTAAGCACATACGTAAATTTTTGTTGATTACGGCAAGGTGCAGAGCAGTTCTGCCGAAAGGACCATCATAAGTTGGAGAAGTGCAAGTTTGTAAAATATGAGTAACAATATCATCATACCCTCTCTCTGCAGCAAGGTAAAGTGGAGTTTCTCCTACATCGTTAGCTAAGTACTCAAACTCAGGATCTTCTCTTGTCAAAATTCGCACCACTCCGATATGATTATTTCTCACCGCCTCATGTAACGCCGTATCCTTTTCTACGCTTATCATTCTCACCATTTGCCTCGCTGCTTCCGCTCCAATTTCGATGTCGTTTTGTTCATCCCGTATTGTTTTTGCCCGATCTATAAGAAATTCCACTATATCTTCATGCCCTAACCTTGACGCCATGTGCAATGGAGTTTCGCCTTTAATATTGGGTTGAGAAAGTAGTGATTGGCACTTATTAATGACTTGTACCATAAATGCAATTGATGATTCTGATTTTGGTTTGCGTGAAGAAATGAAAATATGGAGGATATTGAATGACTTGTACGCATAAATGCAATTGAAATGATCTCTGATTTTGTTTGCGTGAAGAAATGAAAATATGGAGATAGTATTTTTGCTTGGAGCTAAGAGTAGAATGAAGAAAGATCCGGCCCGGAAAATAAATTAAATTGAAATTCCGTTGATATTA